GTGGATTATCATAATTCTAAGCAAGTTTCAGTTCACCAAATTTTTAGATATTGCCCAGAAGCGATTACGTCCGTTTAACAGTCGGTTGTTGCAGTGGAATTCGTGATTGTAACTGTTTGAATTGTGACCGGTGAAGACATGGATTTTCTTCTATTTCTGCAAATCTTCTGGTTGTTGTTTCTCCGCATTTCTGCTCAAAATGGCATGTTATCCACCTTAGCTTCAATCAATAACGTATTTTAGGGTCTAATAACAAATTAAAGCTTTTTCTTCTAGCGTGGTCGACACTTTGCGAACTGCTATAACTAACTGTTAGTGGAGTTGATTCTGCAAACTGTAATGGCGCTTTTTCCTGAAAGTTTCATTTCATCAATTCGACTTTATTCCTCTCTAATGCTTTGAAACAATGAAGACCCCAACATATTAATTGCAAGTAAAAGATAAGGCTAGAAAATGAGTTAAACGTACATCGCCTAAATGTAGAATTGGAAATTTCAATTCCATACTTTGTAATTCATATCTTCGTATAATGTGTGAAAATTATTAGTAGTATTATGATCATTTTTATATGTTTCTCACGTTAATCCAAGAAAAAACCTGGAGATGTTTTTATACAACTCGTTTAAGAAGTGGCTTTGCGTTGCAGATCAGAACTGTACTAAGAAAGCTAGCAGCTTTTTGGAGAGAAAACGAGATGACTCGGAGATAGCTAGAAACCTCTAGTTAGAAAAAAACATAACCGACTACAAACTAAAGCCATTTTTTAGGATAGGGAAGTTTAGGCTGGACATTTTCTTCAGAAAAATAGCTTGGGTTGGTCTCTTTCTGCGTTCTGATCACCTTTCATGGGGTGACTCGCTAATGAATTGCTTAATTAAAGAAAAGAAAACCTTCCATTTCGGGGCCGTAAACTTCTCTGTACACAGAAATCGCGAAACACTTTTGGCTATTTTTAGCCTTTTAATAAAACCAATTAGGTCAAATAAGTTCAGCAATAATGATCCAGCTTTTCAATTTTGAGACAAAAACGAATACGTCGTCTACATTTACGCGTTTGTTACTTCAGACTATTAGATTGTTTTATCTTATTGACGGGTGCTGGCTGTTAAGTAATTCTTTTCGAATCACAACTCAAAACGTTTGTCATATAGTGAATTGCAACAGTAACTATAGTGGAGCTACCTTAAAAAGGTAAAAGGGCTTAAAAAGCTCTGCGATTTAATTCAATTTCCCATGTTTGCGAGACGTTTATCGCGAAATAGGATCGAAGATGTTCTTTCCATTGGACAATCTATTAGCGAGTCACCACAATATGAATGTGATCAAGCTCTAGAGTGTGTCCAACCCAAGCTATCTCTCCAAGGAGAGAGCTCTGGAGAAAAGGTTTAGACTAGTGTAATAGCACCCAAAATATTACTTCCCCATGGGAGACAGCCACCAACCTATGGGTAAAATTACTGGTGTGACCCCAGCAGTTGCGTAACCTCCCGCCGGATACCACTGCCTTTGACTGCGGGCGAGTTGACAGAAGTTCTTTCACCACACTGCCACACCCATACCCTTTGCTTTCACGAAGGCTCTTACTAAAACACATCCATTTAGCTTACATTTAACAAACTTACCCACTTTTCCAACGTACTGGTCGTTTTCCCTCTAAGATAGCTGCCGTACACTGCGATTCAAGTCCTCCATGAAAGGATATCACCTACAAAATCATGTGTTTAAAACCAGTCAAGTGAGGGGAAACGCATTTGTGACGAAAAGTGTTACGTGGAAAGTATCTGTATATAGTTCTATGCCGTTTCTTCCCTTGTGAATGGAACACTGATCATCATGTGCGAGTTAAGCAATTCTGATCATGAAAGTCATCCAGGAACACTAAAACGTCGTCATGGGAGTATCTATCAATCGATTGAGGTAAGTCTATTTAAGTCACCTTTCATCAACAACCTTTTGGTTTTAAAAGTTCTCTTTCACGGCAGTCACGTGTAAAGTGAAATCACTTAAGTACTCTTCATCAGTCTGCAGGAAAACGAATAACATTCAACAGTTGTACCTTTGAACGTCACCCGCAGCAGTTGTGTTTACACACAGGGAAAAGAAATTGCATTATTGTACTTCACTAGCGGCGTTTGTCTTTAAAAAAAAACGCGAAAATGGCTGTCAATCCTATCGTTTTGATTTTACTTAACGAGCAACTTTTGAGCAATTTTCTCACTTTTTCGAAATTTTGGAGCAACTTGTGGCTAAGGCTAGGCTCTCTGAAACCCTTTACATGCGTAATCAGGACAGACAAACGCTTTCCTCTATTACCAACTTTTGTTGAAACTTGGAACAGCTAAGAAGAGACCGGCATCTGAAAGGACCGGCCGAAAAGTTGGAAGTAACGAGAATTCAGTGATATACATTCGGCTATAACCAAGTTTTTCTTTGTATTTTTCTGGAGAACAGAATGATTCGCTGACGGATAGTGTTGTACTCTATGCAGCATAACCCTGTTGCGTGATCAAGTTATGAATTTTAATTATTTGCGACTATTTCACTTCCTTTAGCTGCCCATCAGCGAATAGGGAAGGCGAAACATGAAATGACTGCACGTTTTGGTTCTTCAACATCCATAATTAGTTCCTGATTTTTACTCTTAGTGCTATTCCGTGTTTTGGGACTTACCAGTAAAGACCTCTCAGAGCTGAGAATTTGATTCACAAGCTGGAAATAACTTGACAAAAAGGTGAGTTTATGTGTTGTTCTGTAGCTGTGTTTTTTTAGGCTCTATAAATTGTTATGTATCGTGCCGATAATTCGACTTCAATTATTATAAGCGCAAGACGAAGCAAAAAAAAAAGCATAAAAAGTTGTCTGTCAGTGCCTTTTTCACTGCCTTTTCTTCATTCGGAATCACCGGAGCGATACTCAGCTCTTAAGAGCATAGCTCTTAGCTTTCATTCCAACATTGCCAGTAACGCAAGTGTACAAACAGTCGGTTGCCATCAGCCGATTTCCCAGGCTCGGCTCCTTCTCATGACTTATATTTGTGTTCAGCACTGCGAAGCACCAACAGGACAATATATCAGCATGGAATAAAGAGAGTGGTAATAAGAAGAGGAAAATGTTATTTTCTCCTGCACAACTAACTTTATACACTTATAATAAATAGTTATGTTTTAATGTACTTTACATCTATCGAATAAAAAAGCCCGTTACAAGACCGAGACGTAAGAATAAAAATCGTAATTTCAGCCAGTTATGCCTATCTTAAAACCCGAGTCTTACAACTTGTGTGAGAACGGCCGCAGACACGTTCCAACGAAACTCCTGACCTTGTTTACTTCCCGTCCTCCAACCGCCACTCTTCCTGTTGTGCTGTTGTCTAATTTTAGAACGCGTGACGTGTGTCATGATAACGTATGAAATCCTACCAAAAGCCTTCTTTTTTTTTTTAATATTTATACTACTTTTATCCTTCGCTTGGCATCCAGTACAGGGTAATCAAACTATAAAAAGCTATATGGCATTCATCGCGAAAGCACGTGTGTGACTGAAAATTTGTAATGGAACGTTTTAGCAGGCCAGTTACTTCAACATAATATGAAATAGAATGCTAGCTTGTACACGGTCAAGTCAAAAAAGCTTACAAAAACATTTCACAAAGAAATTCGTCGGGCTATACAACCGTTGCACTTGTTCATGATTATGACATTCTGTGTAACTCACACTTTTCCCCTATTTATAGCTAGGCTTCTTGTGTCAGACTTTCTATGAACTCTGAAAGTTAGTGATCTTAAAAGATCAAGTACATGTTTTATTATTACTCGGAATTTAGCTAGTATACAATCAGCATCACAGCAGGTGGCTGTTGCTTGCCATATTTAATGCCCGTCTTATCCGCCACCTTCCACAAATCTGTCAATATTTACATGATCCTGTTTTTTTATGGAAATAATAAGGGACTTTAGGATACAACGTTTCTGCCCACGGGTAGACGATTATCATTTTCCAGATATGACAATGGCATCATTGTTCTACCGGAAGCCTAGCCGTTTCTCCGGGGTGAGAAGCCATCTACCTGTCACGCGTACGGGTAATTTACCCCGTATCCGTACACGGAAACGGCGTATCTTAAGGTCTCCAATGACCGTCAGATAATCACGCGGGATTAAATTTGTCAAGTCACCATCTTAACCAACAACAAACTAAACCGTGTAATACTACCTCATAATAATACGCTTTTTAAAGCGTATCAGCATGCAGTATTTAAAAATACTGCATGCTGATCCTATGACCATTCAAGTTAAGACTGGTTGGATTCTCTGAAGCGACCATTTCTTTTGTCTTGCTTTCCTTTTTTCATGTTATTTGCCCAGTTTAACCGAGTTCCTTTTCCCGTCACGGTCTTTGTTCATTGTTATCCTCAACTGACATTGGTTTCTGTCCTTATCAGAACCAAACAAAAAGACAAACCTAGGATGCGAAACCAAAATATAGTAAAAACACGTTCTGAGATACTAATACAGTGAAACCTGTATTAAGTGGACACCCTCGGGTAATGCTGTAGTGTCCGCTTAATACAGGATTTCCGCCTAATAAAGGTTCGATAGACTTGTCATATGAGGTGCCAAACGTCTAGAATACTCCAAGAGACTATGACGATATGTGTTTGCATTAATTTCTCTAATTTATAGATTTAGCCAAGGATGCTTTAGCAAATAACTTTAATTAATTATACTTTGGCCGTAAGTAGAGAGCAAACTGAATTCTACCTTTAAAAAAATTGACTTGCGCCCGCGATCAATTACAAACGAACAAATGGTCAGCGGATAACTTTGAAAAATTACATCACTTTCATGAGTTGTATACCTGAGACCGCGATGCAGTCATGTGACACTGTTCAGCAGATACCCTTTTTCGACAGCTGTCTATTGATCACAACATGGATGTCCAATACCAAGTTTTACACAGATATTATTAAAGTGTGCCATTTGCATCCGCTAACAGGAAGGGGTGGACGTACGTACGGACATACTCCGTACGGACGATTTTCTCAGAACCAAAATTTCCTGGAAGCATAGATTACCATATTTTCTTACCCACGGTGCTCCAATATTAAAGTGGACCAATTGATCATAGTACCATAAACATAGATTGCAACTCAAATTTGGAGAAAATCAGATCAGTGAAACAAGCCAGTCTATACAGACATAACAAAATATAAAAAACAATACTGTACTGTACAGTATTCAACATTAAATGCGGTTCGTCAAGTCGTGTTTTTTAATGTAAAAATCGAAAAATTTGTGGGTGGCTTTTTTTCGCATTTCCGCTGTCTGGCATGTTGGGTAGTGAAATTTAATTACAAATGTCCGTTTAATACAGGTTGGTAACAATAGAAATGACTATTTCAGGTACTTTTTAGGTGTCCGCGTCCGCGTAATAGAGGTGTCGCTAAAGAAAGGTTTCATTTTAAGGAAATACGGGAAATAAATTTGGAGACTCCAGCTACCGTCCGCGTTATAGAGGGTGTCTGCTTAATACAGGTTTCACTGTAGGTTTAACGGACGGTTAACCAGATGCCTACGTCCTTGGAAGCTTTGTTTCCCTAACCTGAAAATTGACCCTCACATCCGCTGCCATGATTGTTTTTATTACGTTCTATGTTAATTTTAATATATATTTTTTTAATTATCACGATTATTATCGTTATTATTTTTATAATTATAATTATTATTATTATTATTATTACTATTATTATTATTGTTATTATTATCATTATTATCATTATTACTATTACTATTATTGTCATTATTAATTATTATCGTCATGAAATTATTTTATTTTTCTCAGTTTTCAGTCCTCGTTTGACCATAACGTGCAAATTTAGATCAGGACTCCTCAGAATCACTGGTCACAGACAAGAAACATGAAACATCACTGTCTTTTAACATGTGTGCTGTTGGTTGCCTACCTCTCTGTTACATCCATAGCATTTCTACCTCGCGTTAACTTACAGGAAGGAACAGGAATGTCAAATACGCTTGATCATGCATTAATAACAAAGAAAGGATTTCTACAACCCCTTGAATACTTCTTTTATGAAAACCCACAGTATTTAAAGAATGGTTCCCTGACAGATCTTTTATACACTGAAGATCCTTTACAGGAAATAATTAATAAGATATCGCCGCAGGTTAAGTTCCTCAATGCTTTGAACGAGATTCAAAGCGCCAACGTTGAAGTAGACTCTTTACCTTTAAGCGGTTCAGCGTCTGCACATTTTGATGGCGAGCAGTTTAAACAAGGGTCTAGGCGGCTCGTTCAGTTGCGTCAAGAGCTTATCACATCGCTTTTACAAGGAAATAAATTTAAAAATGCTAGAAATTTGGCTGGTGCTGCCTTGCACACTCTGCAAGATTTTTACAGCCATTCCAATTGGATAGAACTAGGGAAAAGACAAATTTATGAGGAATTGGCTAAGCCAGGAGCAGAAATTCCGCGGGAGTTTATTGCAAGCCCGACGGAACCAACCTGTAAGGGCTGTAAACCTGGAGCCTGTGAAAATAACTTAATAACAAGGAAACTCACAAGTGGATACCGGTCAGGGCAAGACATCAAGAAGCCTGAGTTAATGGGAAAATGCAGCCATGGTGGGAGAATGGACGAGAGCCGTCTGAAGCCCGCAACAGGCGGAATAAACAAAGATTCGACTTCTACGGCTGACTCGCCCCATGCTAGGTAATAAGAAAAAGCAAATAATAAATCAATATCATATAGCTGGAAATTTCCTCCCAACAACGCGCGTTCTCATTGGTTACTTCGAGGTCACATGACATCTAACAATGAAACTGTTTCCCGCCAAAATCTCTGAGAGGGCAAAATTGAAAAATCTATGACATCAGAGGGTAGCAGTGCTTCCCCCGGGACCAATCATTAAGTGTTTATTGTTTAACTATTCAATCATTTTCTTTTGTGCATGATATCTTCAAATAACTTGCTACTTCCCCGGCAGTTTCAGGATAGGAACGCTTTTCTTGGAGTTATTCTTCAAAAAAAGGCAAACAAACAACAACAGACGAAGTCCTGCGACTGCTTTTGTGTATTCATGTCAACGTTTAGTCAGTAAATCGGCTATCATGTCTTCACCAAAGTCTTGAACTATCCAGCAGTTTTCTTACGTTCTTTAGTGCCAAACAATGACTGGGCCGCTGCCTTTAAGAGACGTGATTTGTCTAAAACTGTTCTTTTTTATTGCGTAGACTATTGATGTCACCGTATTGCCAGCTTGCAAAGCGTGAGGATATTAACAAAAATAAGTCGAGAGAGAGAAAAAAATTATCTGTTAGTCAGAACCCAAGAATATCAAGTTAATGTCGGTAGTTATCAGAAACAAAAACACAAAAATTTAATACAATGTCAGACCTAGATTGCATGGCTTTTTATCCGATCAACTACTTCACCTTCTTAAAAAAGTTGAACTTTCACAACTTTCTGTGTAATTTTAGTCTCCATGAAATCGCCGCCGACCTTGCTATTCAAGCCACCAGCAAATTCCTGAATGACATTCGCTCCACGGTTGGTGACGACATCTTTGCAAAATTTTTGAACCTTAAGTCGGAGAGGAGTCTGGCTTTGGTCATAGATGTGTCAGGGAGCATGAGCGGTGAGCCTATTTCCTCTTTAATCTCTCTTTAATCGTTATTTATGTACGGTAAAAAAAAACATCAGGTACAATAAATTATAATACATTGACTAACATCCTAAAACCTAAAAATCCTAATCCTAACGTTTTATTAACTTACAACAAAGTACCACTTAAAAAAAACTGATTTCCATGAGTGCCGTGTTTAAAAAATATGATAGAGAAGGCGTTTAAATTAATTCAATGAACTAGACTCTCTAATGTTACAGGGAAAGCTGTTCCAAAGAGTTGCGCCGCTGTAACTAAAACTATTTTTCATGTAGTTAGTTCTTGTAAAGGAGACAACAAGTTTGTTTACCGAGTCCCTCAGAGAATAGTTTGATTCATTTAGCTTTATAAATTTTGACGTTAGATATTAGACGTGAGATATTCGATATTCTCTCATGTAATTAAGGTTAATTCTGTTACTCTCGGATTTTCATGGAACCCTTGCACCTGTCCAAAAGGCTGGTAATCATAACATCGTCCCATTAGAAAGGGAATCTGGATTCCGGAATTCATGAAATTTTTGCTAGTGGAATCCGGAATTCTGGGCTTTGGAATGTGGAATCCCACCGAAGAAATTTAATCCAGAATCCAAGTTCTACTGACAAAGACTGGAATCCAGACTGTCTTAGATTCTCTTACATGGGGTGACTAATAAACCATGGCTTGAGCCAGACTTATCAGACTTTTGCTATTCAGACCGAGCTTTCTTTCGCTTCCTGTGACAGGTTGGGGGGGCTCGTCAACATTGACAATTAAAACTTCTTTTTTTTAATGCGACTTTCAAATTTCATTCATTTTTTCCAACGTTTGTCCTTACTTCACTTATTTTATTTTATTTTATTTCATTGTATTATTATTATTATTATTATTATTATTATTATTATTATTATTATTATTATTATTATTATTATTATTATTATTATTAATTTTTCACCAGATGAAATCAGAGAATTGAAAAAAAAGTCCATCAAATTCGTTCGGGATTCCTTGAAAACAAGAGGAACATCCTTCACTTACATCCTTGTGCCTTTTAGCGATCCAGGTATGTTAATATTTGATCAATTACCTTATCCAACTTTTTGCTCTTTGAAAGTAAAAGACTCGCCTGGTCAAAATAATCACTATTTTAAAAAATCATTTCCCCCTACTGTTGGGTGAACTTGAGTGTTTTATGATACAGCCCTTCCTGCTTCCTTATGTAAATCATGTTTTCTTATACTAACTAGTAGTATATTACTTTGCATAAGATAATAAGATAAATCTCAGCCTCAAATTTACTCGATCTAAGACAGATGGGGACTAACCTACAGCTGCAGATCTCAGCAGATCACTCTGGTTTAAGTTATAATTAATGAAGCATTGCATGAATGCCCTACTGATCCTGTCGCTCAAGTTCTTCGTATATCCCCAAGGCTTGAAATGGAGTTGTGGCAAGTCTAAGGTCTATGACTTGATAAAAGAGTAAAAAGGACTGAAATTTCAACATCACTTACACCTCAAATGCGCACTAAAGAGGAAAGTTTAACTCAGGTAAATTAAGGCATGGGCCCAAATCCATTTTATAAAAGTAGGTAAAGGGTGGGGTGGGGGTGGTCTAAGGAATGATCCATTTTATATAACCCTGCATGAATAACTTTGGGATATCGTTAAGGGCAATACGTTGTGAAACCTTAAATGCTGTGTTGGATCATGTTATATATTGTCAAAGGTATCTTTGACATTTTTAGCTCAAAAATCTCCCCAGCTAAACGGCAACGCTTTTTATTATAGTCTGGTGGCTGCATTTAGGTTCATGATGTTGAAACTAAATCCGATTTCTGTGCTTGGATATCTTGAGATAATTTAGAATAAAAGTCCGAGAAAAGAAATCATTTTCATTGGGGGACTGGGCACCAGTACAAAATGCCATATATTTTCAAAACCAATGACAGATTTAACAAAGGTGAAGCACAGTTTGTTTCTTTTCACCATTTTGACCAATCTAATTGTAACAAACTTAAAGGACTGTAAGCATAAACTGTTACCGTTCGCTTTTGAATTTTTTTGGCTATAACATGCAATGGAGACTCAACGCGACTAAGAGCGTTCTTGTTTTTACCTTCCTTTATAGTATTGTTTTCTTAAAAACACAGACCATCGTCCGCGTTTTATATTGAGTTCGTCTTTTATACGAGTCCGTTAATTCTAGTCCGTTTCATATTGGCAGTACGTGTTTTATATGTACTGACCGGTAATTGTCCTTGTTCCACACAGATGTGGGTCCTGTTACGGTAACAAATGATGCAAAAACTGTGGTTGATGCAGTCAATAAATTGAAACCTACTGGAGGAGGAGACTGCCCTGAGCTAGCAATGACGGGACTTTACCAGGCCCTACTTTACTCTCTTCCCGAGTCAAACATCTATTTGTTCACAGATGCTGACGCAAAAGACGAGCAACGAAGAAAAGAAGTTATGTCCCTAGCTTTAAAGAAAAAAGTTCAGGTCTCTTTTCTTTTAACTGGCAAATGCAAAAGGCGCAAAAAACGCCACATAGAACAATCATTTATTTTCAGACGGCTTAACCGTTCTAAGAGAAGTGGTCAGGGTCAAACATTGTACCAGGCCATCGCTGCCCAAACTGGTGGACAAGTCCTTGAAACTAGCAAGGCCGGAATAGCTGATGCGGTTAAAGTCATTGATGGCGGAGTCTCTGATAAATCAAGTGTTTCTCTTCGAAAAGTGGAGCTATTAGATATAAGAGAATTTCGTGCTCAATACTTCGGTGGTCATTCTTTTTACGCACATATCGACAGCACGCTAGAAAGTTTGGTTCTTACACTAACGGCAGCTGGCTCTCCTAGTGTAGACGTTAAACCTGTGGAAGGTAATTAGGCAATAACTGCGTTAAAAGTGTTTACAACTACGAAACCCTCCAACAGAAAAGTTTCAGTTGTAGGACAAAGTTTTTTTTTTTCTTTTGCTATTTAAATGCATATGTTAGGCAAAGTTAGGGAGTTTTTCGTATAAGGTAAAATTCACCTTCCTCGTTAAATGAATGCGCCAAGCTGTAACACAAGGACGACATTATTTCAAATATCAGTATTCAACTATCGCTCACCACCGCCTGGCCATTCTACAGATATATTCAGATACATCTTTGTGAAAACTAAGTTCTTCAAAGACCAAAGCAGTGGGGTTTATTAATACAAGCCTACCTTACTTATGAACTTCGAAAAAGACACTAAAACCCCAGTTTGAAATTTTAGTTTAAAAACGGGTTCTTTCGAAACGGCGTAAAGCCAAAAGCGAGTAAAAAATACGCCCAATAGATAGTACTTTGCAATGAGGTCAGTTGTCAACTAACACTCTGCACCACTGAACGAGATGCGATTTTTTTGCAAGTGTTTTGATGTAACGGCCCTTTTTTGTGCTGACCTTTTTCAGGAATCTCGTCACTACAAAAGAACGTATTGACATCCGCGAGTAAGCTTCTTATAATGGAAGTTACTAATTTATTCAGTGGCTTACTAAAGATAACAGTTTCGTGCAATGGACCATACACTCTGCAAGTAACCGGTTCAAGTCCTCTGGACTTCACCTACCAATTGTTGGACGTAGAAGACCTGGAACGAGGGACTACAAGGCGTGTTATAGGAAATCCTTTAAGAGGTAAGGCAATAAAGGCAATAAATAGCTTGCCTGCCCAACTCTTTGATTACTTTTGCTTTTTAGGGAAGGCGGGTGGGCGGACATTTTGTAAATTGGGATCGAAGCACGCTTTTGTAAACCCTCTCATGATACGGCCACTAAAATCACACAGCATTTCTAAGGGATGCACCATTAGTTTTTTGGCGGGGGGTGAGGGGGGTTAAAAATTTTGAAATAAATTGTTTACAGAGGCTGTAGATACTGAAATAAATTGAATGCAAGTAAAAAAAAATGTTTACAGGAAGACGGAGACACACCAAAAAAAATGGTGAATCTCCGACGATAATCGTGTTCCCGTTTCCCCTGAATGTTGGGGATAGCCTCTGATTGGTTGTTATGTTAATGCCATGACGCAAATAATTTCCGCTGTTGTGGCTGGTGAATGAACCTCAGAATAGATCCTGGGGGAAAACTCACCCTTTGCGTGGACAGCTTAGCGCATTTATATTTGTTTTCTTGTATTTCGGCTCTCTGGAATAGGAAACGCGCGTACGATGTTTCAGGCTGCACCAGTTGCTGGTTCGTCTGTCTCTTGTAGTTGGTATTGTAAATAACAAGAGACGAATGTACAGAATTCAAATCTGATATCTGGATTTTAGCGTGGACATTGCGCGAAGATGTTCGGCTAGCAGACGTCATGTGCACAGACGTCATCCTGCCTCTTGGCATGCCTCATTAGTTATGAACTCAGTTAGCGTAATTACAATTTTATGACGGATAATAAGTTGGGGGAATTTACGTCTAGAAATTACAGATATACAGTAATTAGACTGTTCACTAGCCTGCGTAGCATGCGTTTCCGTGTGGATTAGCAAAGAACGCGGGGCGAAAGTCAACGACCGCGCAAAAATGGCGCAAGTAAAACAGCTGCTCTCGCTTCATTTTTTCGCGCGGCCAAAACCTAAAATCCCATTCCTCGGTGTCGTTTTGCTCCGAAACCAAACGGAAACGCTTTCCACGCAGGCTAACTGTTCACAGTCCCCTTATTTTTGTAAGATAGTAAGAATCGAGAACTCACCGATACGGGCGACCATCTTGTAACGAGGGGGCGGGCGTCGGGGTTTATAGCGTTGGGGAGAGGGAGACGAAAAAAAAAAATGTTTTTCTTACCTCCTCCTAAACCATCCCCCGCCCCTTGAGTTGATTTGACATTCATCCAAGACGGAAGCCCGAACCGCAAAGCCCTCGACCTCGACGATGTTAGGGAAAAATAAGGGACTGTGAACAGCCTATACAATGTCGATTTACGTTTCTTTTTTTTTTTCCTGCAGGACAACTGCTGCTACTCACAATGGACTTCGTTGGGCAACAAATTCAAAAACCGAGCAATTTAACACTTGTGGATTCAAACGGAGAAGACCTTGAGACATTCAACATCACACAAGGGCAAGGCTTCTACAAGGACACTTATTTTGTTACCTTTGTTCCATCTGTGGAGAACTTCAGACTGAAGGTGACAGGAATAGACAAGAATGGAGCCCGCTTTCAGCGTATAAAACCAACTTTATATAGTCTTGGTGACGTGAAACTCTCTCAGAAAGTCAATAACAAAAACAGTCCAAACACCATTTTTGCAGGAAAATCTTTAGAGCTAGAAATAAACGTAAAAAATTCTGGGGATAGGCAAACCCTGTACTTCACTGCATCAGATGATCTGAATTTCTATAGTCGAATAAATCCCTCGCAAGCTAGCTTGGGAAGGAATGACACGCAGGTTCTTCGACTTACTCTTGCCGCCCCCAGCAGCGCCAAATACGGTGTGACAAGCACCGTCACGGTATTTGCATCACAGACTTCTGACTTTACCCAGGTTGTTAATTTCATGGTTTTCTTTGTTACCGTCGCATCCAAGGTAAGTAAAAATATAGAACAGATCCTTGTCGTTGCAGTCAGATGTATCACAACCGAAACAAGCTTGGGGCGTTTTCAATGCCAGTTAGCCACAAGGACGAACGTTTCTTGAGCCACTTCCCAGACATAGTTAGAAGTAACCATTACAAAGCAAAAACGTCATCTAATGTAAACTGAAATCCACAAATTTTTCACAGATTCTGAGAGCAATGCCGCCTAAATCTGTCCTCACAAAAGATTCATGTTTCACTTTTAACCATCGTTGAAAATTGCAGATATTTGTTGGCAGCTCCCTGAGAAAAAACTCCCGCATTAGAAAGCTTCGCTAAGCCCTTGTTCCCCTATGTTTTATGCGGACACCTTTGGATGATTACGCTGTTGCCCATCGTACAGAAGAGCGAGCTAATGCGATGATGAGGGACAAAAGTGTTGAGACACTTCTCTAAAATGGCCCCTTTTTGAACAGTGGACATACCTATCCCCTCCCCCTGTGTACCCCCTCCCCTCCGCCCAAAACCAATGTTGTATTTTAGACTCAAGTCTTTCTTTTACCACAAACAACATTGATTCGGGGGTGGGGGGATTTACGGCGTAAAACAGAATGAAATAATAAATGAATGAAATTGTTGATAAAAGCACGCTTCTTAGACAAGTGTGTCAACTACTTTTATCCCATGATTGTAGATTATTTGCACTGCTTCTACTGTCTCTCGCATCAAAAGTAACTTCTAATATTAAATTCTTACATTACATAGTGGTCTTGGAACACACGTTCTAAGCTTTTTAGGGATTAAATATATTTTTCAATGGTTTTATTATTATTGATATTATATATAATTTTCGTCATCATTGTCATTGTCTTTGTCATTGTCATTATCAATATTATTGTTGGCTGGTTCATTCCCTTCCTTGCTCGCTGATTGTTGCAACGTACTAACCAAACTTTCAGGATCCCGATCTCTCTCCTCCGTCATGCACAGTAGTGAAAAAAACTGGGACATGCACCGGAGTATACGGCTCACCGAAGTGCAAGCTGAGCAGGTGGCAAGCGCGTGTATCATTTACCGATGCTGGCCAAGGACTGTCATCGATAACCACAAGAGATAATATCAATGGAGCCCTTCAAGGTAGGTTTATAAGTTGAATAAGTGAGCTGAAAATACTAATTAATCCACAGCTGTATTCCAGGAACCCAGATTGCCATTGCGCCGATAGTCTTATTATCCACGCGCTTTGGATCCTTCACTAAGAAAAAATAGATAAATGATAATGATAATGATAATGATAATAATAATAACGAAATGATAATCATCTAGTAACAAACGGAAATAATGTGGCAAAATCGAGGAACAGCGTCTATAACTGCATCTTTTTTTTTTTTTTCAGTTGGGGCGTTCAACCAGGGTGCAGTCAACAAAGCGATCTCAGCATCCTTCACGTCAAACTGTTGCCATCCTAAAGTTCTCTTTGTGGGTCTTGACCTCGTAGGAAACACAGGCACTTGCTCTATCAGCCTTGTTCCTGATATTGTGTCCCTCAGAGCTAAACCGAACACCACAGCTGTGTCCCTCTATCCAGGAAACACTACAAGGGTCCTTTTTACACTTACCAACCTTGGCTCTAAAGGTTCTTTCGCCTTTGAAGTGACTAATGCGCCTGCCCTCATCAGTTACGTTACGCCTTTTACCCTTGCTCTGCAAACAAATGCTACTACTTTTGGTCACTTGGTTATAAATTCACGCAGTGAGAACATTGAAGTGCAGAATTTGACGGTTATAGCTGTCTCCCAGTCAGAGGAGGTGAATGTTAGAAAAGTGGCTTTATTTTCTCTCCAAGTGTCGATATTATCGGACAGCGAACCAGCAACTCCAGCTGATACCGTGTCCCTCAAGGCCAACCCGAGCACCACGGCCGTCTCCCTTCATTACGGGGATTCCACGAAAGTCCCTTTTAAGCTCATCAACCTCGGCTCTAACAGTTCCTTCTCATTTGAAGTGACTAATACTTCCGCACTCCTCTGTTACGTTATGCCATCTAGTCTCGTTCTGCAAACAAATGCCACGGCAACGGGTGAATTGGCTATAAACTCACGTGATGAAAGCGAGAGGGTGTACAATTTGACAATCGAGGCTGTTTTGCATTCAAGCAAAGTGAGCGTGAGAAAGATACCTTTATTTTCTGTCCAAGTGTCTGTGAGCAAGGCGCAACCGAAGACGAAAATTTTCAACCATTTGCGTTTAGAAGCCGTTATTCCTGCTGATCGCTTCTCTCTGGCACCTGGGGAAAGTCTGGATGTTAATTTCACGATCAGGAATTTAATGTTGGATAACACTTTCACATTTCACGTAAGTTTTATTTTCTTCTGGTTCTTCTTTGTGTTAGAAATGAAAGTGGATTTAAGGCTCTCCGCGAAACTAAAAAAAAGTTACAGGTATATATTTTGTAGTTAATTTTTTATCTCAGGAAATATTTATTTTTCCTTTGTTTCAACTTCATTAGGGTACATTAACATACGAAAAAACAGAGCAAAAACAAAAAATTACCTGAGATATCTGCTGAGATAGATAATTAACAATTATTCCACGCGTGCGCTTTGGATATGAGATGGTTGATGGCCAACGAGGCGTGTAGCACCTAGTTGGCTATAATCATCTCATATCCAACAAGCGCGAGTGGAGTAATTGTTTTATCAAAAACGCCCACAAAATATCGAGAATTCTTTCCGACTTTATTTGTTTATAATTTTGAGCAGACGCGTACAGTTACCATATTTGGAGAGAGCATTGTATGATGGCTCATATCCCATGGATGGCTAGGCCAATCATAGCTCTAGAATTGTATCATCCAATGATTCAGTTTTTAAAAATAATAGATCTAGATAATGATAACTAAGAATATATTGAAAAAAGAAAAAAACCTAACCATCGGAAATAAAGAAAAGTCAAAGCACCGATGGCGGTTGTTGTTGCAACCCCCTTTGGGTTAAACGTTTAGATAATGCAAATGACTTGGGATATGGCGCTGTAGAGGGCTTGTGATATTATTTAAATAGCCGCCATCATGGATTTTACTGAAAAATACAGCCTTACCAAAATGCACGCTTTTCTATACATTTCAGGCCTGAATTCTAAAAATATGCCATTGTTATTTCCTTTGTTACTGTGATATGTTTCTGTTTTTGCCGGTTGCTGCTGCTGCATGTGTTTCTTTGAATTTTGTTTCTTTTGCAAACAAAGAAACGCGTTGATTCGCATGCGGATTTTTTGTTAGTGTTGTTGTTTTGTTTTTGTTTTTGTTTTTGTTTTTTTTTTTGCTCACCTGGCCTATCTTACTTATAACGTTATGTCTCCAGACCATGTGAACAGACAGTCACTAATCTTGGCCAAGATGTGTCTGGGAATGATAAATGAGCACCTACAAAAGAGCAAATTGTCGGCATGGCTTAAAATCGCGTTGAAAAAATCGGTTGCGTCCATCTAAGGCCATCCTCGTATGCTCGAGGGTTAAACGTGTGTTGATTTACTGGTCTACATTTACACAAACTCAAAACATGATATTAAAGCCAATAATGACGTGTTTCCAGGGTTAAAATTATATATTTAATGGGCCATATGTTTAATAGACAATGTTTATGGGGTGACTTATACTGGCAAGTACATACCAAGACAATTTTCCAAATAAGATGACTTAAATTTGCACCAGTGTCAACCGTTATTATATATTTTAATGATTTGTAAAAGGTGATTTCATAAACTTTCTAATTGCCCCTCACCCCCACTCTACTGAGGGCGATAAGTGCAACTGACAAGAGCATAATCCACTAGTCAGTGGAAAGCCCCACACCCCCATATCCGGGGAATGAGGGGCAATAACGGAAGATTGCAACGGTTTTAGACTGTCAGTTCTAACATGGTATGTGGGATTTTCGACAATATTAGGCGGAAGTATCATCGAGCGAGAACCATTAGCGGGGCTTCATGGGGGGTTCGCCTTTGATGGAGCCATCTTGAATAGGCATATATGGTACGGGAACTGAAGCACATAACCTTGGTTCTGGCGGGAAATATGTAGGATATTGTTTTGAATGGGCGTATCAGCGGAGGACTCATTTAATCTACTATAATCGCTTGAAGAGGTCAAAACGTTTGGAGTGCCAATATTTTGTAACTCAAGGTAGATTATTATTCAGCCCTGGTGTAGTCATAATTAAATTTCGACCCTTCTTGCCATAGAACTTCCACTACCGACTCAGTGGTTAGAGCGTCCGAACTAGACGTCGGAGGGTCGTGGGCTCGGAATTTTTTCTGAGCTTTCTGGTATAAGGATTCTCCTTCTTCCAAATTACACTTTGGCCTGGGTGAGAAATGGATAGCACTCTCTTGTTGATTTCACCACTTGCAGAAGTTCAGTTCGAGGCAACAGTTCTTGAAATGTATTAATTTTGGTCAACATTGTACGTTTGTGACTTTTCCTCCGTGGGCGGGGAACAAAAGTGACGCTTTGAAAGTGTTCCCATAGCCGAGGATTTGCCTCATTTAGAAGGCAAGGCTGGTCGGATGATGCGCTCTTCCTCGGGTATTTGGCTGCGGGCTTTCCACTGCTAGTGCATAATCGTTGTTCTTTTTGCTTTATTAGAGAGCTTTAGATTCTGAGACGAGAACGGCTACGAGTACGATATTTTTTTAGTACTGAGTATTGCCCCTGCGTGAGCCAATTAACGTCATTATAGCTGGGGAAAACGTGAAGGCCGTCGTCAATTTACTACGAGTTTTAGCGAGAATGTCATAGTGGCGGAAACAAGTTAACAAATTTGAGAAGTTCAATCACTTTGCGACCGGGAAAGGGCTAAACCTTCTCGAATAAAAATAACCGTGCTAATTTTTGAGGTGAAAACGGTACAATGAAGCTTTCCGGGTTGAATATTTTTCGAGAATACGCGAAAAAACTTGAAGTTAAATCTCGTGCTCTTGGTCGACCTTGTCCTCCAATATAAAGCTCTCCAATGTTTCTACTCTCTTTAATATTTGTCATCAGGTACTCAGCAATCAGTCTTCATTAAATGGAAGTGTCCAACCGTCTCCAGTGTTTCTGAAAACAATGCAACCCACTTCTTGCCTTCTGATCCTGACGTGTCAATCAGATGCCATTGTAGGCACCGTCACGCAAGTAAATGTCACGGCTGCACTCGCATCACGCAACACCGACGTAAAACATCTGCAAGTTTTCTCTCTGATCATAACTATAGATCGCAGACTTCTCGATAGAAAGGAAAATTTAATCACAGTCAAGAACAACAGGCAACTTAAAGTCTGGCAGGCTGTTTCGATAGCCGTCTCAGTTTTCTTGTTGGCGCTCGTTGTTTTTGCTTTGCTGGTGTTTAGGAGAAAATATGGCTCGTGGAGGCCAAAATCGTTCACTAAAGATTACATCAGGGCCGGATCACCAAGCAATCAGTTACAGCTCAGCAAATTTCAAGACGGTAATGTCTATGAGCTCTCTTAGAGGCATGGAGCCGCGTGGAAGGATGGTCCTACGAACGGACGGACGGACGGACGGTCACTTGACTACTGAAATTTCTTGGATGGATAGATAACCGAATTTTCTTAGCTAAGGGGCTCTACTCGGCTCGCTTCGCGAGCGTGGAGTTCCGCTATTATTGATTTTTTTCCCCTCTCTTGTACCCATTTTGCATTTATTCATATATACCCATCATTTTCAGGGTAGGTTTAGTGTAGCTCCACAAAGGTTTTGAATAAAGCTACAATTTATAGAGCAATAATTTTGAATGCCTTTTTCAAAAATCATCATAAAATTTTTTTGTTTTGAAAAATTTCTCTTTCTTTGATTGTCCTACACTTGTACTTACAACAAACCGAATTGATCCGCATTTTAAGCTACCGATAAGGCGATGCTGATAATAGCAATAATAACCTTCATTTATCCGTCTTTTAAAAATATTTATTATATAGACACAAGTGTTTTACTGGAAAATATACCACTTGTCAAATTCATAAAAACTACATCCGGGACCCGAGTGGTTTATTTTCCATAATCTCACACGTGAGTTTATCGATAACGTAACTTCGGTAATTTCCCTAAAAAATTTGTAGGAGTCTTGGGTCCTTTGAATTTTAATTACACATTTTTAAAAGCTTTGCTTATATTTTGTCATTGTAGAGCCCTATTCAGCGCAGTGTTATTTCTCAAGATTATTGTAAACAGTGTCTTATATTGCTGTACTGAAAATGTGAGCCGTCACAATTACTTTTTGGCGCATAAAAATCTATTATTTTTTCCATGTCGTTTGTCTATATAATAAAAAGAACATTACACGGCGGCTTGAAGATATGAATTTTATTTTCTCGTGGCAAAAACAATATTTTACTCACTCGCGGCGCTCGTTCGTAAAATATTGTTTTGTTACTCGAAAATAAAATTCATATCATGTTCGCGCCTCCGTGTAATATCCTCTATATACAATGGATTTACAATACTATAAAATGCTATCAAGTGATTATTCTAATGAAAAAGTAAGAAAAGTAAGTAAGTATAAGTAAGTAAGTAAGTAAGTAAAAATAACAGATCATTAAAGGAGTCTTGCAGCTCTTGCTATAAATGAATTTGCATGTGTCTTTGCGTCCCTGACTTTGGTATTGCTACTGAACCTGGTTTGGATCTTAAGTAAGTTATAGCAGTCTGGTATTCGGCTTAGTGAGAAAAATTTGATTTGGGTAGTTAATAACTTTAATTAATCAATGAATTGTCTTTTTCCTTTGAGTGTTTGCATCATCAGAAGGTTTTTTTTTTTTTTTTTTTTTGACGGAACACAACCTGTACAAATTTGCACATAATGAAGTGTCTTCAATATACACTTTAATATGTAGCCTTAACCCTAGGTTAACTTTGTTAACAATAAAGACAGGATTGACAGAAGTTCTAAATCAAGTATGGTGCTTTTTCGCTGCCGTCTTGCAACTGAAGAGCTTACTGAATCCGGGACGATATTTTGGATTTAGAGAATATAGTTTAAAGACATTTATTGGAATATCCGAGGAAAGGCGGACTCCCAAAAGTTACGGCAAAACGGGCAACAAAAAACTTGCAACTTGTTTAGCAACATTGCTGCAAAAAGATTTGAATAGCGATGCTACTCGTTTTACCACCCACGAATGAATACCATGCACCCTGAACGGTTGCAAGACAGGTTCGAACGTGGGTAGCAAAACGTGCAATATCGCTATTAAACTCATTTTGCAGGAATTTTGCCCGCTGCACAGTACGGCCAAAAATTGACCTTTTTGTTAATTGCGGTACTTGAAATTAACACGACTTAAATTAACGTGCATTGTAGCAAAAAAATCTTTCAAATAAAGAATATTAAACGGAACAGAGGGTAAACATAAACAGTTCAGCAGTTCTTAAAATTCTTCACTTAATCAATGGAGCGGGAATTAACGATAACCGACAAAAATAACTCCACTTAAATTAATGCGAAATTTCAAAATCGCCTTGATTTCATGAAACGTTAATATCCCACAATAAGGCAGCTTCTGAAATAAAGTTGTCTTTTGAAATATTAATCAATTAAGCGTTAGTAATTTCCCTCTCTTGTATTGATTGCTAACGACAGCTGTTTAAAGCACTCAATAAGAATGAAGAAAATCTAAATTATCCTACTATTGATAAGACTCAAACTACGACAATGGCTTCATATACACGTACAATAAAACGTGCATGTTGATAGATAAGTCTTATATCACCTACTTTCTTGTTATTGTCCAGAAAGGGGTACTTGAAAAGCGAAAACATGGATTTCCCTTTATTTCTGCAAGTATTCTGCATGTCGTACCTCCGGACTTCCGCGCAAGCTGGTATGTAATGCACCTTGATTTTAACTTATAACGTATTGTATTTCGGAAATTACAAGTTTATTCCCGTACAACGATTAATGTTAAGGTTCTAATAAAAGAAGCTCTCGCTTTCAGTATGGTCGACACCTTGCAAACTGTTACAGCAGAGATTAAAGTGGCGTTGATTCTGCAAACTGTAATGGCCTTTAATTTTTCCCGGTGGCTTCTTAGTTCGAAGTCATTCGACGGTTGAACTTAAAGTTAAGACTACTGGAAAAGTAAACATCATGCAAATCTACTTAATTCGAATTCCTTGTTGTTGTAACAATGAACAAGCACACCGTAATTGCAAGTGAACGATAATAACAGAACTTGAGTGATAAGTACTTCGCCTTAAATATATAATCTAAAATTTTAATTCCTTTCTTATAATTTTTTATCTGTCTATTTCTTCAATCCAAGAACAACCTTGGAGCTCTATTTATAGAACTCGTTTAGGAATGGCTGAGCGTTCTAGATAGAACTAAACTGAGAATCAAAGCTGGTTGCTTATTTGAAAGCGAAGAGAACTCGGAGATTGAAACATCTAGTAGCAAAAAATACGTGATATAACCAACAGTAAACTGAAGCCATTTAATAGCATAGAGACGTTTACACTGGACCGTTTCCCTCGGGAAAACAGTTTGGGATGGGCCTGTTCTGCGTTACGTTTGAATCACTTTTTTTGCGGTAAATCGATATGAATCGCTAATGAATTGCTCAAAGAGTGGAAAAACTTCGATTTCATGGTAAACTTCCTTGTAGACAGAAATCGTGAAACACTTTTGACCATTTTTTGCCTTTTAATAAAACCATCTCATATGAAATAAGTTCAGCGATAATGACGACTCAACTCATCAATACTTAGTCAAAAAAAAAAAAGATATCGACTTCAATATTTAAGCGTTTTTAACCTCGGACTATCTGATTATTTCATGTTATTGCCAAATGCTAGCTGTAGTTCTTCCCGAAGCTTCGTAGTTATGGCATTGAAACCGAAAAAGTTTGTCATAGTTTAGGGCACCTGTGAGTATAACGGAGCTAAACGTAACTTGAAAAGGTAAAAGGTTGAAAAAAAGGTTCTGCGATTTACGTCAATCCTCCATTTTCTTTCCCTTGGGCAATTAATTAGCGTGTCACCACAATAATTATGAAAAGTGAGTGCCCAACCCAAGCTACCGCAAAATTCCGAAAATAAGCCCCTCCATTTATAAGCCCCTTAAAAAAGAGCCTCTGAACAATATAAGCCCCGGGGCTTATTTTGCGTTGGTCGTTTTCTTTCTAAGATAACTGCCGTACACTGCGATTCAAGTCAGCCATGAAAGGATATCACCTACAGAATCATGTGTTTAGAACCATTCAAGTGCAGGGGGGACGCAATTGTGACGCAAAGTGTTACATGGAAAGTAACTGTATATCGTTCAATGTCGTATCTTCCCAAGTGAATGGAACAATGACTTGCGAGTTAAGCAATTCTGACCATGAACTTCATCCAGGATCACTAACACGTCGTCATGGGAGTATCTATCAACCAATTGAGGTTAGTTTATTAAAGCCACCCTTAATTATACACGAACCGCTTTGGGCCAAGTACAGTTTAGTTGAAGAGAAGAAATGATCTTTCTTGATGAAATTATGAGCGCCTTAACTATATGCGACTTTCGTATCTGTGCCCCTGTTTGCTGTAATTCAATTTTATCGGGGGTTAAATTTATTTTCCTTTGTTTTGGGAGTGGCGAATGTATAATGACTTCGGAGTAAGTTTCAAGAATGCTCTAACTTTTCCAAGGGCTTTTTCATGGAAAGGAAATAAGCCAATTCCGAGTTGCTCCAAGCCAGTCTAAGTGCGAAATCATAAATATGACTGATGATATTTTATATTCTCATGCAAATAAAACTCAGTTTCACAAGAAGGATTTTGCACTTAACCTCATTTCGAAAGTGATAGTTTTAAGGCCGATACACACGAGGGATTTTGCTCCCGGAGCATGCTCCAGGCTCATTTTGCACGTGTCAGTACACACGAGGAAGCATTTTCAAGTTCGCTCAATTTGCCCCGGGAGCTTGCTCCCAAATATTTAACCTGTTTAATATCGTGGAGCATTTTGCAGGGTGGAAATTCTGCTCTCGAGGATGAAGTATACCCATGAAATCGTTGGTACACACGGAGCTTTGCTCCCGGATCGTGCCCCTGGAGCATGCTTCGGGAGTAAAATCCCTCGTATGAATCGGCCTTTAAGAACTTGGCAATGGCCTACTGAGTCATCACTTCGGGGCACGCCTCAAATTAATATAAGGTTTTGGCAGTGTCAATCGTTGGCGAGGGGGAGTAGAAGGGCGGTCAACAGCAGGACCAAAAAGATCAGGCCGAATTAATCGCAGCTAGAGTTTCCTTCAATCTCATTAGTGATTTTGTACAGCCAAAATTAGAAATTCTTTTTCTTTAGAACGCTTGTGTGAATAATCCATGCTCACCAAATTCAACATGTCAAAACGGATTCTCCAGTAAAGGGTACAGATGCATTGACAACAAGAACTCATCAGGTACTAATAAATATACATTTTTTAATTTCAATATTTTTTTATAAATGAAAACAATTAAAGGTATAAATCGGAGGATAACTGACATGGGTGAGCTTCTACGTAAGAATTTCTTCTTCTCCTTCTTCTTCTTCTTCTTCTTCTTCTTCTTCTTTTTCTTCTTCTTCTTCTTCTTCTTCTTCTTCTTCTTCTTCTTCTTCTTCTTCTTATCCTTTTTCAGTGTTCCTCTATGAAGATTCTGGGCCACCTTTCTTCACAAATTCTTAAGAACTAGATTGAGAAGAGTTTTATTTCAACCTTCTTAGGTGACGATGTCTCTTCTCTTTTTCAGTGTCGAGCGTTATCTCAAACGTTTTGTTTGTACTGCGAATTAACGGAGCCATAATAGGTGTTTGTCTTGTCAATTATGCTTTAAAATTTCATTTCTTTTTCCTACTAAAGTTTCTGCTATCAATAAAGCAACATTTGTCACCCATGCCAAAGGGCTACAAATAACACAGACTACCGAAGGGCAGCAAGTTACTCAAGGGATTCAGACAAGTAAAGAACCCCAAACCTCCATCCAAGTGACACATACCATCAAACATCCAAGTACTGAACACGCACAATTAATACGACTGACAACACGATCACCGCAAACCAGCCAAGAAATACCTACCAGCCAGATACTACGAACAACCAAAACAGTATCTACCAAACCTCAAACCTCCATCCAAGTGACACATGCCATCAAACATCCAAGTACTGAACACGCACAATTAATACAACTGACAACACGAAAACCGCAAACCAGCCAAGAAATACCTACCAGCCAGATACTACGAACTACCAAAACAGTATCTACCAAACCTCAAACCTCCATCCAAGTGACACATGCCATCAAACATCCAAGTACTGAACACGCACAATTAATACAACTGACAACACGAATACCGCAAACCAGCCAAGAAATACCGCCCAGCCAGACACTACGAACAACCAAAACAGTATCTACCACACAAGGAAATCAGCCCTCGTCGACAATATTTGCAACCACTGAACCAATGATGAATACGCTCCAAGTAGAGCAACCTAGAACATGCCACGACGTTAAATCGCACATTAGTGGATGGTTCTTCATAGACCCTGATGGGGATGGAGGCGAGGCTCCATTTGAAGTGTACTGTAACATGGTTGAAAAAGGAGGCGTTGGAGTTACAGTTATAAGTCACGATACTGAGAATACGACGCACGTGACTGGATGTGATCCTCCCGGATGCTATTCACGTGACGTTCATTATAAAGGTGCCAACCCCACTCAGCTAGCAGCGTTAGCTAACCTGTCCTCACATTGCGAACAGTTTATAAGATACGACTGTCGAAAGTCTATCTTGTTGTTTAGAGGAAGAGCGTGGTGGGTTTCTCGACAGGGAATACGGATGGATTACTGGGGCGGTTCTGATAAACCTGGAAAGTGTGGCTGTGCCATTCTAGGAAGCTGTGATCAACCTAACATAAACTGTAACTGCAACTTAAACGATGACGTATGGCGTGATGACAGCGGACTGCTTACCGACAAAAATTTTCTCCCTGTCTCCCAGTTAAGGTTCGGAGACGTAGCAGGTGGGCAGGAAGAGGGCTATCACACTTTAGGAAAGTTAAAATGTTACTGAACCCTCAAAATCGTTAATTCCTTCCTCAGAGTCTAGTTGACTGTATTGGACAAACCTCAAACCGTTATCGAATTAACAAAAGGCTTAAAAAAAACAAACAAACAAACTTAGGGGCTTCCGCTAAACGGGAATAAACTCGTGAGTGGAGTGTAATCTTTTTCATGTGCATAAAAGCTTATTTGTGTGTTTGATGATGTAGCTGTTTTTTCTTTTTCTTAATTTTTTTTTTTCAACATTCCAGGAATGAAAGATTAGCAAAGAAAATGTTTCTGATAGCTATCTACCATGAGAAGAGAGGTGAAATATGTAAAAACGTTAAAGAAAAGCTTTGAAATTAGAATTAAGAACCACAAAAAGGGATGAGCTGTGTACAGAATTTCTTATTTCCTGAGTCCTCGGCCCTCAACCGTAAAATAAAAATCAATCAAAAGCTTTACCTTCTGCCCTTTTGTTCTTGTTGTTGTTCTTTTCCCTTCAGTAATCATAACATCACCTCCATTTTTGTGCGTTTATCCTTTTATTGATTATTGACGTTCTCTTATGGCTTTGATTTATAACATTGCCTTTCTTGCTGGAAGTTGCATAGCGCGTATTGATGTTTAACGGAAATACGTTAACACATTTACCTCAGTTAAGGCTGAAAAAGAGCATTCGTGAGCTAAGAGTCATACGTAAATTTCAGTCCAAAGTTCGGGTTAAATAGCTTATGCAATTAGAATATCGTATATCATACTTACAATTAGGTTTTTAAGTTCGGTTTTGACTTTTTTTTTGATATGTCGCGTTTAGTTGGTCTCTGTTGCAACTAGTCCTGGTATCCGTATGAAGCGGGCTCTCAGAAGCAACATGTTTTATTGATATAAAGGCGATGTTACACAGCAAGATTCTTCTCAAAGATTTTTCGCGCAACGCCTTTTGAGCCCTTTTTCGCTTCCTTTGTCCAGCTAAAAATTGTTCCATGCAAGGGTTTTTGCTTGCACTTTTGCTGCGCAAAAAGGTTTCTTTGTGAATCGTCTTGTGTAACATCTCCTTACACACTTTTAACACCAACTTGCAACTCTCGCAGGCGCAAAAAAAAAAAATAGGTGTTGCGAAATCGTCCCGTGATGTTCCAAGGAAAGATTCGCAACGAGGGCTTTTAGCTCAACATTGGTGTCAATTGTTTTAATGATAAGAGAGATAACGTGACATTAACACCAACTTGCAACTCCCGCAGGCGCAAAAAAAAAAAACAAAAATTGCCGTTGCGAAATCGTTCCGTGATGTTCCAAGGAAAGATTCGCAACGAGGGCTCTTAGCTCAACATTGGTGTCAATTATTTTAACAATATATTAATGATAAGAGAGATAACGTGACATTAAAATTGTTTATGATTTATCAAAATTCGATTATCGTCGGTGCTTTACCGATAACAGAAAACAACAGTAAAATAAATTAGCCTCAACTTTGCCAAATAACCTGCCAGACCCACAGGTGATATAAAAAAACACTACAAAAAATTTACAGTGTAAGAGAGACAACAAACGCTACATGCAAAACACCGTGGAAGACCCAAAACTGATAATCAATATACATTGTACAATCATTAATACGTACGAACTGTGATTGAAACAAATAATTAACAATCAATCAATCAATCAATAATCTTTATTTATATACGATAAGTATTTAAAGCGGCCCTTCGCTTGTGGGGTCGTGTCTAAATAATTAACTTAGATAACTAATGAATTAGAAAATGAATAGGATAAACACCAGCTAAAATCATATAGCTACTTACTACTTACAAGTCTAAAACGATAGAAGCTTAAAATTGTAAAGTACAAGGTGGTACTCTAGTATCGACTAATTATTAACACTAATTATACTTAAAATCTTCCTCCCTTCTGGTTAATGTTTGAGGGGAGATACAGTCGAAATCTAGGTGTAGCAGAGCCTTTGACCGTCTTGCCATAATCGCATATTTCTTAACATTGTCTATATCGTCATTAAGTTCAGGAACCAACGTGTTCCAAACTATTGCTCCTCTACGAGCTACAGAGTTCCTCATGTAGTTGGTGTTAAAACGAGGGACATCAGTTTTCAGTTTCTTCCTAAGTTGATATCGCTTGATGTTATCATTGTTCTTAATAATAGCTGACATAGCGTCTGGAGTCAGGTTATTGTGGATTTTATACATAAGCTTAGCTAAGCTAATTTTATACATAAAGGCTAAAGGCTAAAGAAGACCAATTAGCCTTTTTCAACAATTCTGTTGCCTGAAGGCAATTGGGCGAATAATTATTGAAACTGAAGGGCAGGTCACGTGTGAGCTCGTTACGTGAGTATGGCAACACGTGATCTGAGAATATAGCAATCAGATGATGATATTAGGCTTGCAATTGAATATAACAAGATAATAAATAAAATAGTTCCTTTCAAGTTTGAGAAAATAAAAGGCATCTTTTTGTGACACTCATTCAGCAATAACTGAATAATGTAATTCCCTTGAAGCTTACAAGGTGTCAAGAGTGTCCTGGATCGGGAAATACGGACCACTCCCTCCCTCCCTCCCTCCCTCCCTCCCTCCAACGAATCCAACGTTAATACTAACTTCTCACTTAGAGCAAGTTGTTGCCGAGGGGGTACTAGGGGAGGGATAGGTGACAGTTTCTAAGAAACTTATACTATCCCACTGTCCTTACTGACATGTGGATCGTCTTTATCAAGCTTTAGTGTTCCCTGTTTCGACTTTTATGCATCGTGGAAGAGCTTAGACCGAGATTCAACAACCACGGAGTATCTCTGTAACCAGAGTGTATATTCCACTAGATATTACTTTCTTACCTTAATAACAATGAATCAAAGATATATGTTTCAAGGAGTTTGCACTTGAGACACAACTACTAACTTCGTTCAGTATGTTGCGAGGTGTACTCCTCGCATTTTTCCGTAATAATTTATAATTTCACTTAATTTCGCGAGATACATGTTGGAAATTCTTCGGTTTTGGTAACAAATGGATTAATACATGTAACACTGTCCACTTCCTATCTATATATATTGTTCATAAATATTACTGGTATCTCCAAACTGATTCTGGTAAGTCTTGTAAAGCTCTTGTTTGTTTTCCTTTCCATCGAAGCCACAAAACACCAAACACCACACAGACGATGGACTCGACATAGTAGCCATCGACAAATATTTGGCACACACCATCAGCATTCGTACAGTCCTGAAAAGTAAATTTAGAACATGAGAATTCAGTCTTCGTCACTTCCTCTTCCATTGGCCATTTCCATTTATGATTTTCTTGGTTTGTTCGTTGTTTGCTCTTTTGTTTGTTTGTCTGCTTGGTTTTCTCTTTTCTCCTCAGAGTAAGAGGGAAAGAAGCAGGCACCTACAACTGAAGTATCCGTAAAGGGAGATCTGTCGCGACATTAGCGAGTTACCATTTCACCGAAAGAAGCATTATCCTTGGCAATCTTGTCATACGTTTGCTGAAATTATGAGCAAGTACCAAGAGAAGAGTTTTCATAAAATGTTTTTAGAAAGTATTTGTCAGACGCACAGTGCTCAATAGAAGATAAAAGTCTGCTAAGTGAGCCTCACTTTTTCAAGAGGTAGTTCTGTTTATTCTGTTTGTTGTTGTTGTTTTAAACTATTTTGCGTCTTTGTTAATAGAAAATTCAACAGTAACTAATTTTTAAAGATTCATTCTGCATGTACTTACATATATCAAATACCTCTTAACAAAAAAAGGAGGAGTTTTAGCAATATTTCCATTAATGGTTTTGTCCAGATCTCATGATACTGTGCTTTCTCTCGCTAAGAAAAAATGTTTCGACACTATAAAAAAGAAAGTAATTAGTCACCTTGGCGTGAATTTTCCCGCTACAATGTAGCCCTGGTATAGATGCACCAACACAGCTCGACCAGGTGAGTCCATCCACAAGCCACAAAGCAAGTGTCTGACACCAATTACCACCCAGGTTTGTTAATGTGTTCAAAAGGGTCAAGTACGTCCCGCCAACCCGCGGGTCACTGATACGGGCGTGAAACGCCATGATGGCCACGAACATGCAGTACACTGTAACCTGTTGACGGCAAATAGTAAAGGAAATAAAAATAAAACATATCTGTAGTGCCGGGAAGTTTAAACGTAATGTACATTTCGTACAATCGAAGTGCATTATCTGAAGCAAAATGTTGCATACAGCATTCTCTGTCCATCTCTGAAGCTCGAAGCACCACATGCAGCAAAATAAAAAACATCTACACTAATCACCTCTACGACGCTTTTGAAAACTGAAAAACATTATTCCGTAATTATTAAACAATTTCCAAAAAATATCTGTTTGCTTATAATTATTTTTTTACTCACTATTTTTTTCATGTACTACATTTTGGAATTTTTCCAACATCATTGGACATACCCATGAAGGCTAGCTAGGTTACACTAACCCCCAAAATTGCCCTTCCCGAGTTTCCCAAACGTACCTCGGCCCGGTTTCAGCCATACTGCCGGTTCAGTAGTGTACATAATTAACAATTATTCCTCGAGCCCGAATGGGCTCTGAGACAATTGACTCAGAACTTGAAATACTTGAGCTTGAAATGACTTCTGGGCAGGTACATGCTAGCTACAGCTTGCCCGAATGGCAGGCTGTAAAACTGACTTTCTCTGCACCCTGGTAGTGTACTCTCTTCTGGATTTCTTGTGTTCTTTTTGAGAGAATTTTAACTCCCAGAAGGGTTTGTCAGAAAATTTGAATTAAACAAAGAGGGAGGCAACTAATCAGATTGAAAGGCGCATCTTCCAAGGGACAGAACTGTGTGCAGGGGTACAGTGTAGGTATGGGAAGGGGGTACCCACCCTTTATTGCAGGAGTCCATTTGGAATTTTTCATTTAAGGGTTCCTGAAAAGTGAATTTCAGTGCATTTTGAGTGACCAGGGAAAGAAATTTAGCCACAAGGATGACACAAAAGTGCTAGGAACCAAAAATAAGATGAAATGTGATGGATTGATTGTTTCACTTGAAAACTTTTCTGTGAGTAGCCTGCACCTTTATGTCAACTAGATGGTGATTTTGGCGGTTGTTAGAGCTTCTGGATAAACCTACAGCTGTCCAATGTACTATCAGAGATATAATCAAACATCTCACTGTTACATGTAGTTACTGAACCACTTTTGCCTCCAGATTTTTGGCCTGTATTCTTTGCACTTGGCCATAAATGTAATAGGAGAAACTTGGTCTGTGACTTACAGTACCAAACTTAGACTTGTATAGCAAGAGGTTTATAATTATCATTTTTACCTGGTGAACTGCATAAACCAATAATATTGTGACATAAAAATAAATAGGGAAGAATTCCTGGTTGGGACCACGGACAATGCTGGTCCACCAAACACACACCATGAAGATAACACCCATGAACAATCTGTAGGGCATGGCCTTGAGGAACACATCTAAGGGCCGTGGACCTATAATAGGCACAGACAACATTTTTGTAAATGATTTCAAATGCTAAGAGGATGGAACTTTTGCATGACAGTTTTCATGCTGTAGCTCTTACAAATGAACATTAAAGAGGGGTGCCCACTATCTGCTATACAAAAATTATTTTTAGAGGTTTTTAAAACACAGAGACCTTAAGATACATCATTTATGTGACTGTATAATACACTGGTAGACCACCTTGCTTTTATGCAGCTACAATGTTGTATCAATTTTTAGATGGAGAGGTGGGATACGGGAATAGGTGCAGGTATTTGAACACTTTCCTTGTCCCCTCTTTGGGGATTTTGACCACAAATTTTGCCCTTCGCTGCAGACACGAATTTCACCTTACATAGAACTGGTTCCATTTGAATTAAACCATACAGAGAAAAATGGCTGGAAAATCAGCTAGAGAGCACCACTGACAATAAAATTATAACATTTCATGTTGCTCTGTAGATTAACTTACAGCTGGGCATGTAGTAGGCTGGGATTTAAAAAGTTGGGGGGTTATTTGGATCAATTTAAGTTTCTGGGAAACTGCCCTCCTACCCCTCCCCTCAGCTAACATTAACACTTACTTCTCAATTAAGGCAAAATGATGGCTTAGGGGAGGGGTAGGTGGGCAGTTTTCCCGGAAACCTAAATTGATCCAGTTCTTTTTAAGGTTCTATTTTCCTTTTGTCTCCTACAAAAGTAGCCGATGGTCATGCTCAAAAAATCCCTGGTCTCTGGCCTCATGATCTTAATGACGGCCCTGAGAAAGGATGATGCTACACATTGTATTATCCCATCTGGAAAAACATTGGCACTTTTTGTTCACCTATTTGTACATGTAAATGAAAGCAGAGACAACGTATGTTGTAGTTTCTTATAAAGAAAATGTACAGTGTACATAAATTTATTTTTGTTCTCAAAACAGGCCATCTGATATTACGCAATGGTGCGATTTCACACAATTGACCTCAAATCGCATCAGATCACAAAACTTGAGGAAAATCGCATAACTTGTAAAAAAAATGCTAAATTCAAGTAAAGTAAACAATGAATTCTAACTTTAATTAAACATTTTCCCAATCTTAAAGTTATGTAAGGTGTATTTACAACAATTTTCCCTGCACAAAAAACCCTTTCTTTTTTATCGCACAATCTACACAGAAAATGCCACATTACATGTATTTCAGATTTTTTTAACGCATCCTATCAGAAGGCCTCTTGTAAATGTATACGTATTTTAACATAAACCCTCCACTGTACTTCTACAGTTGCAACACACATGCATTGCAATGTCTCCCTGAGTCATGTCATATTTATTCATAAATGCAAAAATGCCCACCTGCAGTATATCTGCTTATATAAACTGGTAACAAAATCTGGATTGGAACCATGGGGATGGCAAGTAGAGCAAGATTCTCTTTAGGAACTCCTGCTTCAATCAGCTTTAATCCAGTTACTGAGTCAGCGGCAGCAAAACCAATCTAAGTAGAGAAGAGAAAGGAATGTTGAATACTAACACTGTGAGGATATGCCAAACAGTTTATGGGCACAAAGTATTAATGTCTTGGTAATTTTCCTAGGTTCATTATACACACTGTACATGACTGTACATGTGTATATCCTCTGTCCTTAATAAAACATGTTGAGGTTTCTTCAGATGGTGTTTAAATGTCATTTTCCAGAATACAAATCAACAGAATTAGCACGAGAAATTACTCCTGTAGACATGTGAAGGAAGCATGTCCAATCAGCAATGGTTAGTATCGCTGCCCAAAAGAGAGACAGATGACAGATGATTGGTGGTCTGGCTTACGTTTCAAACAAAACCTTCAGCTACAAAAACCAAGCATTCAGTTACAACGATATGACTCACCTTGACCATTGGCCATTGGGCTACAATGTAAGTGACCTTCCAAGGTTTCTCGTCCAGCAAGAAAATCTAATTGATCAATTGTCCCCCAGGACAACCAAACGGAACTTTTTTCAAGCCCTGATCTTCTTTTCTTACCGTACATTCAAGCATCTTAAAGTATTATTCTTGTGGCAAACTGGCCATGCACCTTATACAGAATTGCCCTTTCTATAGAAATCCAATCATTTTCTACCGTACTCTTAAAACTTTTAATGTCTATGATATAATTAACTAACTACCTTGAAAGTGAGAAGTATGACCATGAACTTCAAAATACTTGGGCACCGCAAGATTTTGACCAAAGTTTTGTAGCCATCAACAATCCCTTCCACTGATTCCTCACCATGAAGTTCTTGTTCAGACTTTTCACGTTTAAAAAATCCAACTAATGTAGTGGTAACAAGAAAAACAATTCCCCAAAAATAGAAAAATCCTGAGAAGGTGACAACACCTGTAGACTGGGTCTCAGTTCTCAGATATCTGTTACTGAAGTCAGCAGAACTAAGAGCCAGAAACACAACATTTCCCATGAAAAATCCCGCTGTCTGGCCTACAGTGTTGCATGTTGACGCATAACCAACATTTTCTCTGGACAGCATTGTGAGTGCCCAGCCATCCACAGCAATGTCTTGTGTTGCAGCAAGGAAGTTGAGACAGAAGAAGATAGCAGTCAGAAGTGTGATGCTTGGAGCTGTTTCAGTATTTTCTCCCATCAGTTCTTCAATGTGCTGAAAGAGTAAAAAGAGTGTAAAAACTGCTGTCTTTCATTAAAAAACGCACCTGTGAACTTATGAAAATTATATTCAATTAAGGAAAGCTTATTTGAAGGGAGCAACCTAGTCAAAAAGATGGCCTAAAAAATAATAGCAAAACAGTTAACAAAAAAGGTAGCAACACAAAGAGAAGCCCATAACTAGGAGTGAGCAACTTTAATAGATGATACTTGTGTCACAATGTTTTCACTGACCAGTTTGTGTTTAGAACATTTTGGTGAAAAAATAATTAATTTTAAATTATAGTAATTTTTAAGTCCTACACCTTCAGACCTGGAAACCGTATTTTTGACCTATTAATAATGTTTCAATTTCCATTTTCATATTATACTTTGAATGCCCTCATAGACAGAGCAGAGCTTCCATTTGGATGAGAAAAAAGTGCTCTAAAATCAATCTAAAATAAACCAGTCCATGGGTTGCTCACTCTGGGTTAAAGGCTCCTGACACAAATGAACTCTATTAACCCTTTAAACCCTAACATTAAAATTCAAATTCTCATTTGTTATCCCTATACGTTTTCAATAGAAGTAGTGGGGAGAATTTGATTAAGTATCAATTAGATTCATCTTGTGTGATCATATCTTTAATTCTCATGACCACTGTTTTTTATAAAGCAGTGATAATACAAGGAGAAATTTGATGCTGATCACTCTTAGGGCCTAAAGGGTTAAAGTACATAAAGAAAGAAATAACAGTTACTAGAACTGACTTTATAGTTAACTTTCTGATCTTGTGCAGTGATTGCTGGCCTGTAAGTAATTTTTCTTTCTAAAAGAAAACATCATATCCAGCTACTATAATTATGTCAGCATTTCACCTTGACAGAAGTTTCCGCACATGTATCATGTTGACATTTAAATAAGGAAATTACTGTTTAGTAATAACATGAATTTTTAATTACAGAAACATGTAGCCTTTAGACTTAGTACTACATGTGCTAATTTATGCTGGGGAAAATTGGATCGATCACATGTGGAAGGACATTGTCAGACGACAGACATTGTCTGATGTTCAACTGCTACATGTATAGTATTTGCAGCTCTGTATTGATGCTGGTGTAGTCAAACTAAGAAAGACGTTCTTGTGATATCCTCTACTATTTGAGGGTGCCTAACATATTATCATTGTTAAGAATACCAATTAAAAAAATATTAGATTTCACAGTTACCACAAAGCAACTTATTATAAGGGATATAGTGGGTTTGTTGAAGTAAGAAATAGTAGGCTTTTACCACAAATTCCAATTAATTTGATTAACGTACATGTAAAGATCCACACAAAGGCAAGTTTAAGAGTGAACTAGACATTAAACTTCACACATGCCAAAGCTAATGGTGATGAGCACAATCCAAAGTCCTTGTTCACTTGAATAGCATTGGATCAGGCAGTCATGCACATTGTAGTCGACTTTTAATACTCCTCGTTCAACAGTGACTGCTGAGCTATGTAAAAATATAATGTTTACATTAAAAAAAAAAATTCCTTAACAACCAACCCTGAAAACCAATGTAACTCTCACCTTGGAAAGAATGAGCATAAAGATTCCAATCACGTACTGTACTGGCACGAGCCAGGTCTTCCTTCGGCCAAATCTCGACAAATAAGCCGTGTCTACGATAGGAGCCCACAAGAGCTTCATACTAAAAGGCCAAAACACCAGACTAAACTTAGCTTGGTCCTTGTATTCAATCTTCCTTGTTTGTAGCAACATGGGCATAGCGCCGGCAAGTCCCAAAGGAATGCCTTGTAAAACGTAAAGAAGTAAAAGAAGAGCTATACTTCCACTATCTTTTCTCATATTTGGTTTTGTCTCATTTTTGACTTTACTTTCCTCCATCATCTTGGCTTTGTCGGGACCGTTCATCGTAGCTTTTTTCGTCGGCAACTGAACAACATCTTCTTCTTGATCATGACTGAGAATCTCATGTCTCTTCGATGCCTCTACGGCTCGTGACCTTGTGATCATACCTGACATCCCTGTTAGTTTCTTGGTTATTTTTGCATGGTTAGCACTTAACCGACTGCTTTTTAAACGCTATAAAATGGTACCGGCGAAGGAAAGAAACGTGGCGACAGATTACAGGTAGTGTGCATTTACATTGTAGATTAAATGAATACATAATTGAAATTGCAAATTTCTTCTGGATTTTAGAACTGCGGACTCAGATCCTTCCCAGATCTGGTTTCCAGTCTTCCCGCTTTACTTTTTTTCCCAGTTTTTTTTTCCCTTTTTTTTTTTTTCCCATCTGGATTTCCCCCGAGATTCTTTGTTTTTTTTTCTTTCTCCAATTGCCCAACCACTCTCCCATAGTTTCCGCGTTTTCACGAGTCCCCCGAAGGTATTTTTCATCTCAATTGGCCAGTACTTCCAAGTGTACGATAGGCTAAGCTTCTTTTACTTTGGGCTGTATTAAAGATTGATTAATTTGAGGCAATTTACTGGCTATAACCGTAGACAAAATAATCAAAAATTAACACATAAAAGGAAAATTCAAGCTCACGAAACTTGTAGGAGGGTGTAAATCCAGTCATTTTAAATAATACAATTCTTACCAAAAATAAAGTACATATTTATTAAAGACATTTAAGTACAACCTATGTTTACGAATGTTGCACTTTTTACAAGGTTTTTACAAGAGAGCAAGATGTTTCAAGGACTTTCGTATGGTAACTTGTAACTATCAAAACAATAAAAAACGAGATGCTCTTGAGGGAATAACCATTGCAAGGCAATCATTGCCCCATTAAATACAATACTACAGACAATATGATACCTGAAATATCGTCGTCTCATGATCACTTAGTTCGACTCACGGGATGGGGGAGGTATTCCTGAGAATTCTTGCCCTACTAAGGGTATACTACTCGGTTCTCTAAAACCTGACCAAAAAATGCCATTTTCCAGACCCGTTTTCAAACATGGCCTCTAAAATTCATACCCGTAGAAATCATGGTATCATTACTAGACAGGAAGATTACTGAAAAAAAAATCTATTTCGAATTCGCATATTACGCCAATTGAGCTACGCATATTACGCCTACGAAATCATCTTTCTAGTTTTCTTTCTTTCTCATTCATTTGGGATTGAAATTACAAATACGTTCATAAACTCCGGTAGCTCCTTGGAAAATTTTAACCTACTCCAGACCCGAAAATAGACGAAGTCAATACCCGTTTTCAGACCAAAACAACGCAAATACCATGCCCACATACCTATATACCTTAGAGGGAGTAACCTCCCCCACACACATCCCCCAGGGTTACTCCCCTCCTTCCGTGAGTAGTCTAAACATGAATGAAAGGAAAAAGCCAGGGTATAATATATCATTATTGGCTTTTTTGCAAAGAAAATTATATATACTTGAACCGTAATGAAGGCATTATTTACATCAAACGTACACTTAACGCAGTCCTAAAATTGAGTGAGTAAACTAAGTGGAATAAAGTACACTTGTTGGCTTTCTAAAGTAGTGTCACGTACTGAATGTAAGTTCGTCTAGATAGCTGAATGCTAAAGTCGACTTAGGGATCGTTTGTTAGGAAACTATCTTTCCCTTTCATTATCATTGCTATCGACACTGGCATCAATAATAATAATAAAAATGACTTATATAATGCGATTGACAAAAGTACGAGTCTGAAAATTTTTAAATTAAACGAAAACAGCAAAGAAGCACACTCACTACATGTATCAAGCTTCGCGGTATGGCCAGTACCTTACGGATGCGCACAGCCATTTCAGCCATATAAGTGGTTTTGGATACCTCTGACAGTGTTTAAATAAGTAAAACTTGAGTTAAAGGAATATTAATATAGAACTTCATCGACAAAAAAAAAATCAGCACCGAAGCACACACTACCAACTGCGTGGTATGGCTAGTACCATACGCATGCGCACAACTATAATATATCACCCGGACAATGGAAGCCATGGAGAGCTGTTTCGCCCTTTGTCGAGACTTTGAATGCTTCGCACCAGAACTTAGAGTCGTCGCTAACTGGGGTCTTCCAGATCTTCGACAGTAACTTCTTCTGATTTACTATGGAGCTGCAATTGACTGCTGGATGATTCCGAACATGTGCCAACTTTAGGGCATGATTTTGGTCTCAGTGAACCCCTTTTTTGACGATAAACGACGGCTGAAATAAGAGTTATCAGCAAAATGAAAACTGCAATGGCTATTAACACAACGTACAAAGTTTTAAGGCGTCTTTTCCCACTATCCAAATCCGCCGTTTCTGTGTGAGGACTGCCATCTACTTTTACAATGATAGAGAAGACTTGAAACTGTTTTACGCCGGTGCTGCGTAATGCTGGTGTGGCCGTCACGTTTACTTGCGTGACGGTTTTTGTAGCGGCATCAGATTGAGACGTCAGGATCAACAGGCAAGAAGTGGCCTGCATTGTCCTGAGAAAAACGTGAGATGGCTCAACATTTCCATTCAACGAGGATTGATTCGTGAGCACCTATTGACCAAAAAATAACAATAAAAAAAGAAAGCGTAACGTGTGACGTGACATTTGCATGGTGGACAGAGAGATGTCATGTCGGTTAAAAAAGTGACTAATAATTGTTTTTAGACATTTTGCTATGGGAACAGTTATTGTTTTAGAAAAAGTATTACTTTAATGGTTAAGAGTTCCTCGAGGGACTGAATTCACGCTTTACTGAGTAGCAAAACTTACTGAAAGATACTTCTGTTGGTTTCCGGCCGCCATGTTGGTGTCCATCCGAATGAGCACATGGCGTTTTCGTACAAAGCTCTATAAATTTAGGTACATCATTTCACCGAATATCTTGAATACGAAAAATTGTAATGACTACTGAATCTTGGCGAGGATCTTTGCATATTTACATCCTTCTATTTCCCTTTGATTGAAGGTTTTTTGTTTTGCTTTTTCTTTTTCTTCAATCATTTTTAGTTGCGTCATCAGAGAAAACCAGAAATTAGTGCAACAGAGTTACTAATTCTTTACCTACGGCAGGGAAGGCTCGATTTCTGCCTCTTTCTCTCTCTCGTGTTATTTCAGAGCCGGTTAATTTTGTACGGAGCAAAAATTGCTTACGTGAAATGTGAAGGTGTCGTCCAAAGCTAAATTCTGTACTGTGAAATTGACCTCTAGTCTTCCCCCATCCGTCAGAGAGAAACGATTTTTGGTTACAGCAGCTTCTAAAGGCAAATGAGGAAAGGCTGGCACCACAGACACTTGGATAGAAAATAATGCCACCCTTCTGAGATTTACATTGCTTAATTGTGAGACAGCGTTGACCGTCAAGTTTAGCACCTCTTTGACTTCACCACGTGACTCGATGACCACGTGACACACAGCACTGGCATTCGTTGCCAGAATGAGGCTCAAAGGCATAACGTAACTGATGAGTGCAGGCGTTTTCGTCACTTCAAATAAGAAGGAACCATTAGAGCCGAGGTTGAGTAGTGTAAAAGGGACCTTGGTGGTGCTCCCAGGATAAATGGACACAGCTGTGGTTCTTGGTTTGGCTCTGAGAGACACAATATCAGGAACAAGGCTGACAGAACAAGTGCCCATGTTACCAACGAGGTCAAGACCGACGAAAAGCACTCTGGGATGGCAACAGTTAGATGTGAAAGAAGCTGTGATGGATGTGTTTACTGCACCCAGATTAAAAGCATCGACTAAAACAATAATAAATACACAAGAAAATAAGTGTCGCATTCGTCTGCTAAGCATAAGAAATTTCACACCTTCTTATCTGAGAGTCTGTGAGACAATAAGTACAACTATGTGAAAAGCACTATTAAACACACTAATTGAGCGTAATTAATGACGTAATTAATCGTCAAAGGCACAGAGTGTACTAAGGTTGTACAAACGTCACCTACCTCGTAGAGTTCCGTTGTCGTTGCCTTGTGTTGCTATCGACGCCAGACCTTCTCCAGTATCGATGAAAACGACACGTGCATGCCACGTGCTCAACATGCATTTTGATCTGTCATGTGTATTGTTGCAAGATCTAGTTTGGTTAAATACCGTACATGATGGAGGAGAAAGATCTGGGTTCTGCAAGGTTTAATTAAATTGAATGTTTTCAGAAGATAGTTTTAAAATTAAAGAGTTGACAAAACAAACTGGCCACCATAGAAGGATTAAGCTCACTAGTAACCATGGCAATGGACCATTACGTTCGTTTGGTAATAGGGACTTTAAGATCTGACAGCGCAGTGGCAACGAGAACGTTAAAAAAACAATAGGTTTGATAGGCAAAACAATAACTTTGCACTCCAGGTATCACACTTTCTTAGTTTGCCATTCTTGCAGGTCGACGACGTGACATTGCCTAGTACACGTTTTATAGAGGACGTAAACAATCGACGACGAAATTTTATTTCTTTTTCTGAACTTGGATACTGTCCCAAGGAATTCAGCACCAGGAGGGGGCGCCTACATTAAAGTAAGTGCATGGGTAGGAATAATCGCGAGAAAGGCTAAAAGAACGCAAATTCACTTTTCAAACAATGCTTTTGCTGCCATCACTTCCTTGGATCTTAAAGTCCCTAAAGAAATATGTTTGACGAACTAATGAACACCAAAAAAACACTGAAAAATCAATTGAACAAAGTTCAAGTTAGTTGATAGTATATGACTGTAAATTGCAGCCAAATCGAACAAATTTTATACCAAAAGGTTACACAGCTTACTCCAGAAAGGCGGCAAATGTAGTTATTCTTTTGTCTTTATAATAATTGGCTCTTAATACATCGTTGCAAGGTAAAGCTAATTTGAATTGTACACATTTAATTGAGGCAAAGAGCGCTAAAAGAAAACATATAAACGAAAAATAATAAAAGCAGTATTGCCGCCATTTTTGAATAAAATTTGGGTATCACAAAAACTTTACCTTGTTTCTAGATAAAGCCACTTGAATAGAAAATAACGCGATCTTTCTTTCATGTACAGTTCCTGGTTGTATAACAGCTTTGACCGTCAAATTCTGCGGCTTTCGGACCTCACCACGTGACTTTATAACCACTTGTCCAGCGAAACTGGCATTTGCTTTCAGAACGAGGCTAAAAGGCATTACGTAACTAATAAGTGCAGGTGTTTTAGTCACTTCAAATGAGACTGAACCTTTAGAGCCCAGGTTGACGAGTTTAAAAGGGACCTTGGTGGTGTTTCCAGGAGAGAGGGACAGTGTTGTGGTGCTTGGTTTGGCTCTCATAGACACTATATCAGGTACAAGGCTGATGGAACATGTGCCCATATTTCCTACAAGGTCAAGCCCGACGAAAAGCACTCCAGGATGACAACAGTTAGATGTGTATGTTGCAACGATCGATTTGTTTACTACACCCTGATTGAACCTGCCAACTAAAAAAATAAACACAAATATTTTCATTAAGACTCGAAACTTTGCATGAAGTGTTGAAGTGTTATGTAGTTTCAAGAGGGGTATTACACAAAAATATCGTTTTGTACATGAGGTTACATCTACGCAAAAGCAGCTTCGTTGGAGAAAATTGAATTTGCAACATGTTTACCATTGACCTGGTCAATAGCGAAACATCGATCCGCTATGCTCCATTCGAGAAATATTCTTTTGTTTGTTTGTTTACGTTTGTTTATGTTCGTTTTGGCTTCAGCAGAGACAAGGAAAGCTCTGAGAAGTTTTCTATAATTGGTCTTTGTGAAGGACAAATCTCTTCGATTGGTCTATTTAAGTTCGCGCGAAAATGGAGCCATGCTACGTGAGTCGTAACTAGAAAAACCGATTTTTCCTGGAAAGTTGGATGAACTAAAGAAAAGGTTAAACCACTTATGCGTTCGATTATCGGTTTTAGCCATTCCAACTAAATTCAAATGCATCTGAGGGACCATAATAGCAGTAAACGTTAAGTACAAATTAAGAAAAAATAACTTTATCAATCTCAAATGACCCAAAAATTTCAAATTTTCAAGAATAAATCATCAAGATTTAACGTATTAGAGATTTCTCAAAACAAATCGGTTGTGTCTTTCAAAGCACAGACTCGAAATCGAAATACGGTAACTGACTCATAACGTGAGTTGAGTTTGTTGTTGGATCTCTCCTTTTCTCCGAGAGGTTTTTCTCCGGGGACTCCGGTTTTCCCCTCTCCCCAAATTCCAACATTTTCAAATTCCAATTCGACCAGGAATCAGGGAAACGAAGAACCACCTAGTAGAAGTGCTAATCTTTATTTATTTTATTTTCTGATTTAATCACGTCACATTTTTCTATTAGTTAATCATTCAACTAAAGTATGACGTCAATTTTTAATTTTCTTTGCAGAAGCTCGAAGTTTTTTGTTTCAAGTATAAATTTCCAGTTACATCGCCTTTAAACGAAACTCCACTTTTTCGTTTGCGAACATGTTCCAAATGCAAATTTTCAACATAGAGCTGTGTATCGACTTCATGTTCATTTCACTCTATGTGTTGCACTTACCTTCAAGGGTCCCGTTTTTATTGTCTCGTGTTGTTATCGATGACAGTCCTTCTCCAGCATCAATGAACATGACTTTCGCTTTCCACGCGTTTAAGATGCAGTCCGGTCTGCCGTATACCTTTGCACATGCCCCGGTCTTGCTTACCACTGTACATGAGGGAGGGTCAAGGTCAGGGTTCTATAAATTGAAAGACGTGACGTAATTAAAAAACAATGGCTTTCTTATTAAAGTCAACGAGAAAATAGGTATTAATAGCAATGACTAAACGACTGAAAACGCGTTTTCTCCAACAATGGATAGGAGCAAATGTGTTTAGAAATTTACAAGGGGTTGGTTTCTGAAGAAACTGTGTGGTGGAACAACAGGAAAATGTGGTGTTAACAACTGAGTTGTCAAAGCAAATCGACCATCTTAGAGAGAGAAAATAATCTCCCTACGGTGTTCAAGAGCAAAGAATAATTCTCTGTAGGATTGGCTATGTTTCAGACATGGATAAACAAAAAGTTTCTTTTTACATGGCTGAATTCGCAAGCGGGCAAGATGAAGCGAATAATCATGCATTCTGATTGGCCACCAGACCGAGCAAGATGGGGCCATCTTGCCCGCTCGGGATTTCCCGCGCTGGTCCCGCAAGCAAAAGTTCTCCAGTTTAGCCATATAATGAATCATTTATTGACCAAGCTTGTTCAGTCAAGTTGGCCAAATATTGGCCTCGTTTTTTTTTTTGTTATTATTATTATTATTTTGCGTTTTTATTTCCCGAGACGAAGTTAAAAAAAGAACGCAAAAAAAGAACTTGGCCAAGGCTCGAGACACTCCCTGAGAAGCCTGTTCGGGGGTGGAGCGCGGGCTCATTTCCCGATCAGCGGCTAGTAATTGAGCTTAATGTCCTGTCCAGCCATCTTGACCTCACGCTTGGACGATAACGCATATATAGCGACTGAGAGTAAGTAGCCTGTTTACAATTGGTTGGTTTCCAGGCACTGCCCGAGTACGGCATATCGTTTGGCACTAATGTGAAGACACCCTTTTTTCAAGTATACCCACGCCAGTTGTTTTAACGCGATGTCGGGCCTTGTACTAAGGCACTAGCGTAGGCAGCGGCTCCCTGTTTGCTCAAGTTTTCTGCTAGTTCCGAAGCTGTCCATTGGTTTCCATACCCAAAACTCCCTGCTACTTCTAAGTTTCAAAAACTGCGTCGGATAACGCAAAATGGAGTGAATACGTACTCTGGCGGGTACACAAGGTATGAACACCACTTTGAGCCGTTACCTTGGCACCGCATTAATTAAAGTACTGTGTCCGTTTTTCTTTCTATAAATTCTTACCTTGGATGCCACAGTAACAAACAAAACCATGAAATTAACAACCTGCGTGAAGTCAAGATTCTGTGACGCAAATACCGTGACAGTGCTTGTCACGCCATATTTTGCGTTGCTAGGGGCAAGCAGGGAAAGTCGAAGAACCAACGTGTCATTCATTCCCAAGGTGCCTTTCGAGGGACTTATGCTCTTGTAATACTCCAGGTCGTCTGATGCAGTGAAATACAAGGTTTGCGTGTCCCCGGAGTTTTTAACGTTAATTTCTACCTCTAAAGTTTTCCCGGGAATAATCGTGTTTGAGCTGTTTCTACCGTCCACATTTTGGGACAGTTTAACGTCACCAAGAGTAAACAGAGTTGGCTTTACACGCTGAAAGCGAGCCCCAGTTTTGTCTGTTCCTGTCACCTTGAGCCTAAATTTCTCTGGAGATGGAGCAAAGGTAACGAAATAGGAGTTCTTGTAAGATCCTTTTGTGATGTTAAATGTTTGGAGGTCGGTTCCGTTCACGCCCACAAGTGTTAAATTGCTTGCTTTCTCTATTTCCTTACCAGTGAAATCCACCGTAAGTAACAATGTTTGCCCTGTAAATGAGATTTTAGACGTCAAAAGGGAGGGTTATTCCCTGAAACGTAGTATAATCAACTTGTCTCATACGTCCGCCAGGCGTCGATGAAACTTCATAAAAATTTAATCACGTATTCACGAACATAGCTGTCAAACTAGAAAGGGAAACGTTTATTTAAAAGAAATGAAAGAATGGAATATCGTACTGTTTTCCAGATATTGCTAACATAACTTGTAATTTTGTTTAAGAAAAAAAAAGTCTTCAGAAAAGTGGTTTTTTTACTTACTTTCCGTACATACGGCTTATTTGCATGTCCCCTTACCTCTCAAAGGATTTCCTACGACACGCCTTGTAGTTCCTCGTTCCAGGTCTTCTACGTCTAAAAGTTGGTAAGTGAAGTCAAGAGGACTGGAGCCGGTTACTTGAAGTGTGTATGGACCAACACAGGAAACTGCAAGCTTTAGGGTCCCGCTAATCAAGTTACTAGCTTCTGTAATAAGAAGCTTATTTGACTTGGTTACATTTTTGAGTAGCAATGAATTTCCTGTGAAAAAATATCAGTGTAAAATTAAAGTTTTGAAAATAAACTCTTCAAGGAATAAAACGAGTGTTTGAAGGAAGTAGATCTCCCGACCCAACGTAATGAGTATTTAATGACCTTGTCTACATTTGGTAAGCAGTCGTCTTTTACATATAGTTGACTGTTTTGGTAATATCGTGATGATTTTGGGTAGCAAGGGATGGCGCAGTTGTGAGAGCACTCGCCTCCCACCAGTGTTGCCCAGGTTCAAATCCCGGCGTCGACGCCATAAGGTTAAGTTTGTTGCTGGTTCTGTCTTTTGTTCCGAGAGGTTTTTCCCCAGGTACTCCGGTTTTCCCTCCCCTCAATAACCAACATTTCCAAATTCCAATTCGATGTAGAACGCACGGACACGTTTAAACAAGTTGAAAAGAACTGTTAAGTGCTTCGTGGGTGAACAAACTAAAATTTACAAGTTTTTTTTTACCAACTTTTTACGCTTTAGGCAGGCTATCTCTAGAAGACTTTTGTAAAGTTTTTGTTGAAATGTTATTTTTATTTTTACCTCCTCACTGGATTTTTAATTACGAAGATCTTTCATCTTCCGGTTGATGCTCTAATGCAGGATAGAATGAGCTCAATATTCATACTTATTCACAGGTCGGGGGCACCCAACGTCAGGTTTCGGAAAATATCTGTTCGGAAGACGATTTGAAATCTAGAATTTTCGGACCATTTGTGCCAAAATTTCTTGCTTGCCTGCCTCTCCTAGGATTGTCGAACATCTAAAAAATGGTATAATTTCCCATTTTTAACGGATTTTTTACTCTAAAAAGGTCACCTTAGAATTTTCGGGAGCCTTTTTTCTGGCTGAAATTTTCGAAAAGGTAAGTTTTCATCCCTATAATTTTCGGATCACTAGACTTTCAGCTAGGAAATCCGAACAGATGAAAAAATTTTAGTGGATAAAAATATGTCTATATCTACCGTTTAAATACTAAAAGACGTTTAACAATGCTATGTTTAAGTGGTTTTGAACTATATTCTCGTTGGGTGTCCCTGATAGGGGCGTACTTTACATACCTTCTACAGTTTTGACATCTAAGCTTGGCAAATTAGCTGCCGTTAGTACAAAAACCAAACGTTGTAACGTGCTGTCGACATCCACGAAGTGAACTTGACCACTGAAGGACTGAGTTCTAGTTTCCTTCATATTCAACAACTCCACTTTTCTGAGGGCAACCGATGAGTTAGATGAACCTCCACTATCAATGACTTCAACAACCTGAGCCACTCCGGCCTTGGTAGTTTCAAGGACTTGTCCACCTGTTTGGGCAGCGATGGCCTGGTACAGGGCTTGACTTTGAGCATTTCTCCTTGTACGGTGACGGCGAGACTCTATAAAGTTCGACAACTGATCCGATTGCTGAGCATCTCGCTTTCTTCGCCGACCGCATTCACCGGATAAAATCAAGTTGATCTTGACTTTTTTCTCCTTAGCCAGGGACATGACTTCCCTTTCTCTATGCTCATCTTTCACATCTGCGTCTGAGAAGTAATAAATGATGGTCTCCGGAGGACAGTGGAGAAGGGCCTGGTAAACACCCGTCATGCCTAGTTCAGGGCAGTCCCCGCCTCCAGAAGCAGTTAAGTTGTTAACTGCGTCGATCACTGTGTTTGCATCACTTGTTACTGTAACAGGACCCACCTCTATAAAGGGAAAGAGTAACGTTGTAAATAACAATGGACTAGATAAACGGCAGTTTTATAAAGCTAATCATTATTTTACTGCTACCATTCAAGTGAGTTGGGTGTTTACACCCAAATTTGCTCCCAAAAAATATTTGATACATGCCGTGTTTTGATAGGGGGCGGGTAATGAACAGTCTCTTGTTGAGCTTCTGATGATTTTCTGAGGCAATCAGCAATGAGCATGGTTATTATTGGACAAGCGTTCCCTTGTTTTAAATCACGGACCAAAGGGAAAAGTCTCGATTTTCTAATCAGCAGGGGAGTACGGAGATAAAGCGTGCGTCACAAGTGTAATAAGGAAAAGCTAGTGTAAGGTCCACATGTTTTTTGTTCTTCTTATCTTCGCCTTGTTGGATGATGAGCAGTAAATGTTGATAAATCAGGCGACCTACCTGGATCGCTGAAAGGCACAAGAATGTAAGTGAAAGATGCTCCTTTCTTTTGTAAAGTTCGCTGAACAAAATCGATCGATACTCTTTTCACCTCGCTGATTTCATCTGGTGCAAACAAAATAGAAAGCGAGTTATAACCACATTATTCCGCAAGTCTCAAGACCGCTTAATAGTAAAATTGTGTACTGCGTTGTAGTGTACTGCGTTGTATGTTGTATGTTGTAACGAGCGAGCCACCCACGAAACTACAAACTACTTACTGTGGGATTGTAATTTTTTTGTCCTCCAATTTCGCTTCTATTCGTTGTAAACGCTTCCAGCCTGACTAAAAATGTAGCCTGGGGGGCGGTGTCCAAAAATTTTTTTTTGGCCCTTCGGGCCTTCGTCTGGTCTAAAATTAAGGGGCCGGTCCCCCCCCCCCCCTCCCCTGGATCCGCCACTGGCTTTGGGATATTTCTGTCGTATGACTGGAGTCATCGTAAGTCCAAAAAGCCATACTGTTTTACAATCGAGGCCCAGGCCTACTGGTCCACCCAAATATCCAACCAAAAATGATAGCCACAGGGGAGTTTTATTTAAGCTTTATGCTTTTTGGCATAAAAAAGGAATCATTATTTTTAACTCACCGCTCATGCTCCCAGATACATCTATCACTAACGCCATGGAATTCTCCGACTTCAAGTTCAGAAATTTTGCGAAGATGTCATCACCAACAGTAGAGCGAATGTCACTCAGGAATATGCTGGTGGCTTCGATAGCAAGGTCAGCGGCAATTTTATGCAAGCTAAAAAGAAAAACAAACAGGAGAAAGAAGAAGAGAGGTAACACATTTGATTAGCTGTGCGTATGCTCTTATATTAAACCTCGTTCCCAGGATTTTCTCTTTCTCTTCCCTCTCTCGTTCTCTCGTTCCGAAGGGACGAGTAATAGAAAACCCTGGGAACGACTTTGTCTCAATATCTAGCGATCGTTAGATTGAGCTTTCGAATGATAAGAAGATGTTGGACATGAAGGGGTTATCCGTCTCTAAGAACAGCTGTTCCGTATTCTTCCCCTTCTTACCATCATACCATCTCCACTCTCCCCCTCCCCTCCCCCCCCTCCTTGCTACGCTTACACCAGGCGATTCCAGGCCATACACAAAGGATGCAGTTTGCTATTGGTTAACTAAAATAAGCTTCTGATGTCAGATGTAAGCACAGGAAGTCCATATATACTGTCTCAGCCTATGACGCGTTTCAGGCAATAAACAAAATCAATCAGCCAATCAGCTTCCAAATCACTCAGCCAATTCTGCACTTGTCTACTCTTCATAGGTCAGTGGATAAAGCGAGCGCTCGATCATGAGATCCCCACGCTCGTCACATGCTGATTATCTCGTCTTTCGCAGTCTTCTATGTTTTCTAGCATGCTCTTTTGAGATTTACAAAAACCGTTAAATGTACTCGCTTGGGGCTTGCTAGCAGTTTTCATAGATCTCGAGAGTGCATTATTTTCTTAGATAACATGAACAAACAATATTTATTTGGTAGATTGATCACAGAAAGGACGTCAAATTCTTCAAAACCTAAACGGAAGTTTCACGGATTATTTTGACGTCATTTCTATGATGGAACACTCAGGAATGCGATCACTCAAAGTAAAGTTTCGAGTATTGCTTAAAAGTTTACTGTCACGCACGTCTTTGCATTCAAGTAATGCGTTTGCATGTTTTTACATGTGTGTACGTACGATGGTTTGGTATGCTCGAATAAGAGACTCTCTTCTATATGCTATAGCCTTAAGTCACAACGCTGATTATTTACAAAAAAAGACTCATGTCTTGTGGGTTTGTTGTGATCGTTGCTTAAAGCTTGATGCATCAAAACCGTGATCAAAACCTGCTTTTTTTTTGTTTTGTTTTGTTTTGTTTTTTTTTTTAAGGTAGGAAGCAAATTATTACCTAACTCACGTAACCTAACTAATAACATTGCCCTTGGGTGCTAAACACAAACTGTGCAAATCGTAAGCGACAGTCTAAGGTTCCTCTCTTTGCTGCATAAGTCTGAGTTAATTAATTAGGTTTCAAGACTGATTCCCCCACTACGATCGCTAGACTATAAACCTCTTCTACTGAAGTGGGTAATTTATCTATTTTTTTATGTATCTATTCATATTACTTATTATGATTTCTTTATAACAGGGCTGAATTCAACACTGTGTATTTATAATAATTCACAAGTGTAGCTATTTTTGTTTTGTTTTTATATGAAGTTTTATAATTGGGACAGTCAAATGTAGTCAACTAAGGCGAGACTAAAAAAAAGGTTCCACGGCCTTGCGACGAGGAAAGTATCTCATAAACCCAACTCTTACCTCGCGTGAGGCGAAACAAGTGTAGAAGTCGAATCTTTGTTAATCCCGCCGGTTGCTGGCTTCAGACGGCTCTCATCCATTGTCCCACCATGGCTACATTTTCCCATATTCTCAGGCTTCTTGATGTCTTGATCTGACCTATATCCACTAGTAAGCTTCATTGTGATCAAGTTATTTTCACATTCCCCTGGTTTGCAGTCCTTGCATGTTGCTTCGTTGGGGGATGCAATATTCTCTTTCGGGATATCACTTCCGGGACGGCCTAAAATGTCATACGGTACTGGATTGCCGAGTTCTATCCAGTTGGAATGACTGTAAAAATCCTGCAGGGTGTGCAAAGCTTCACCGGCCAAATTTCTTGCATGTTGTAGTTTATCTCCTTGAAGAAGCATCGTGACAAGCTCTTGACGTAGCTGCACGAGCCGCGTAGCTCCTTGCTCAAACTGCTCGCCATCGAAGTGAGCAGAAGCAGAGGTACTAAACGGGAAAGAATCAATTTCAGCGTTGGCGCTCTGAATTTCGTTTAAAGCATTGAGAAACTTGATCTGCGGCGATATGTTATCAATAGTAACTTGTATAGCTTCTTGAACATCAATCGATAGAAGATGATCCAAAACGTCTGTTAGTGAATCGTTTTTTAAATACTGCGGGTTCTCAACAAAAAAATAGAGAAGCGGTTTTAGAAATCCTTCCTTTGTTATCATTGCATGATCACGCGTTGTCGACTTTCCGTTTCCTGAGAGAACTCGAGGCAGGAAGGCTACGGTGGTAACAGGAAAGCAGGCCGCCAATATAAAAGACACTAAAAGGGAGAGATGTGTCATGTTTGGTCGGAGGTAAGAGGAAACTTAAGTGACCGATGTCTTTGTGAAAATGAAACCTTACCAAGCTGACCTATAACCACAGTTCTTTGCGCGCGTTTGCTCGTTTGTACGTGACGTAACGTCAAGCTCTCCTCTGGGAACTAAATAGCCTGCCCGGCCCTCGCGTTTCTCTCGCGCCGAAAACTCCCTTTCCCTTCCCCTCCAAATGCCTGTCACGCAGTCTAGGAACTAAACTCTATTTTCATGTAAAATCTTCGACAAAAAAAATTCTATTGCTTTGACCCCAACAGGGCCGTCTTGTCACGTTGTTGCAAACCAAGAATGTACTATCGTTCCTCTGCATGCATGCTCAACCGTTTCTTGAACTTGCAGCTAAATTTGATAGCTCCTCCTAGCCTTTCAACGAATTAACAACCTCCTTCTCCAATAAAAAATTATTACGCTGACAAAAAAAGATAGTAACAAAATGAAATATGAAAAATAGATAACATAAGCGCTAATTAAATTGACATTTCTTTATTTTGAAAATCTCGTTACCAACCGTGTCTGGAAGAGTTTAGTTTACAAATGAAACTGATTTTTATAGCTTTTGACCGTAGCCATGACTACCAAAAGCTCGCGCGCGTTGAAATGCACGCAGATATTTTTCGCGCCTATTATGACGTCATTCGTACAAAAAATTCAATTCCAACGACATTTTGAACTGAGAAATGCAATCAAGGGGAAGTTTAGACTCAGTTTATCAAACTGAAAATGTAAACAAATTTAAAGTCGTGGTTTTGGGCGACCAAGGGGTAGGAAAATCTGCCTTAGTATGGAAATTCGCTTACAGTGGATTCGAGGAGAAATATGCGCCAACGATCGGCATAGACTTCTTCACCAAGACTCTCTACCTACGTAAGTGTCGTAAGTGGTTACTAGAAGCTTATATTTCGCTACGACTCCGTTTAGATTAAACATATAAAAGGGGAAAGCTTAAAAATAATTGCAGGGTTTAGCTGATTTAAGAGTCGGTTTAAATTTGTTATGATACATTTGTTATATGTGATTGCAGGAACATGCTAACATAAAATTATTAAACCTAACGACCCCCGACCGGTACAAGCGTACATGCCACAACCTATATACGTAGACTTTTTAAAAGTCTGTTTTGATTGGTTCATAATTTAACGAAACTTTCGCCTGCTCCGCGCTCATTCTCGCGACTCCATCGCTCAAAAAATCGACTTGTTAGCAAGTCTCCAAACTGTGAAGATAAAGTATCGAGCGGCAGTGTTGTGTGTGAATGGAAATAAATCAAAGAAAGTCGATCATGTTTCCCGGCCGTATAGTAACATTCAAAATACACCACTAAAGTCCAAATGCTGTTTTAGTTCTCATAAACGTGAAAGGTTTACCCTCAGATAGTCTTCTGACAAACTAATCAATAACCAAATGAATATAACAAAGGACATGAATTTCAGCGTCGGGACCACTACTTTCGCGTGGCGGTCATTTGCGGCTTTCATGCACTGAGCATTCTTCATTAAGTATTGTTTCGGGGGTGTCGCTTATTGCAAAAATTTATGGCAAACGCGAAAAAAATTTTTTTTGAAAAAATAATATAATATAATGAAATGAAGAATAGGTATCGTTCAGACATGCAAATTAAATTTTTGACCACGTGCTAATAATTCGTAAGAGATCAAAGCATTTCAATAAAAGGTTTTGAATTTTTATTGTCTAAATAGTAAATGTACTTGACTTAGACAATTTTTCGCATGTACTGGGTTATTTCAAGAAGGATTAATAAGTCGAGAATGAGTCAAATTTGACGGAGATATGAAGAAGTAAGATACACGGTTTTAAGAACTAACCGTTCCTATAAGGCTTTATGAGATCAGATGACGGCGTTCCCTTAGTGCACTTTCCATTTGTCGGAACTGGCCGGCCGGACCATTGCCCGACCAGTCGGTTTGATAATGGAATACGCTTTTTCCAAGGGTTTTTGCTGAACAACCATTTCCTTGGTACATACTACTTAGGATTTGACTGATCCGGCTGGAGCGATTTGATTAAAATGGAAATTCTCATTGCGTTGGGAATGGTTTGGCCGGTCAGTTCTGACAAATGGAAAGCGCCCTTAGATACCTCTATGAAAGATATTTCTTCTACAAGAGCCTGGTGTTTTAAGCAGGACTAGAGCCGAGGGGAAGGCAGTTTTTGTTTAATTTTGTGAAAAAGAAACACCAGTAGCAAAGTAGGAGAGAGAAAGTAAAAGGTTAGAGCCTTCTGCTGATCGAGGTACCACTTGCGGTACTAAAGACCTATCTTAGGTTACTGAAACTGTAGCCTGCGTAGCATGGCGGTGTTGTAGGGAGCACGACTGAGCAGCGAAGCCGCAAAAGCGCGCGCGAACGGCAAAGCCGCAAAAACATAAAAGTTGCTCCCGCTCCAATCTCCGCGCGGTTTCTCTGCCCTCGCCCTCCGCCCACCTTTATTATAAGCGCACCCTACCAAAACTGCCATGCTACGCAGGCTATAAAAGCCACTGTACGGTTAGTCACATTCTCTCACCCACTCACCTATCCGGGCAAATTAAAGTCAGCCACACGCATTTTTTTTTTCTTCTCCTCTTAATGCGTACGTCGGATCTCTCCCGGCCATGGAGAATGGAGGATGGGATTCACGGATTACACTAGCAATGTGTATCAATAGAACATCATCTCTGTTGATGCTTTGGGTGTCTAAGATTTTAGGTTTGCCCTGAGATGAAAATTCTTCCTTCGAAATGAAATCAAGTTTCTTGATACCCAGCCACCAACTAACCCTTTTTAGACCTGATACGCGTACTTAATCAATTCAGAAACAAATAAAAAGTAAATACCCCTGAAGAATACTCGACTTTCGATAAAGAAAGAAGTGAAAAACCTTTAGCGAGTAAATCCTGTTTCGTGTAGAATTATCATGAGTGGTTTTGAAGATATAGAGAGAAGGGGCCTGAAGTCCCCCTGGTCTCAGGAAGCGAAAAATGCCCGGTCTGAATCGGCCTGGTTAAGCTTCTTGGTTAGCAAATATAATTCACCTCTTTATTTTTTTGTTCTTTCAATTCTATAGTTTCCCATCACTCTTCCTGCCGTAAGGATCAGTTTACTCTTTTAATTTTAATTCTTGGTTGCATTAACCCTTAGGGACGGCGGAGCCGGGGGAGCTAAAATCCCCCACTCCCCCTTACTTTTCTAAAGGAATTTTTTTGTTGTTTTAGTATAAGGTACGTATGAAGAGTAAAGAAGAAGAAAAGAAAAGGGAAAAGGTCCGGTTTATTTTAGTACCACCGATGAAGTTGGATTACCTGTAGTGTGAGCCGGAGTCTGGCAAGAGAATCGCTGAGGGAATGCGTGTGTTGTTTTTGGTGATCTCAGATCGTACCCACACACGAACAGCTTTTATAAAAACGCAGGCCAGTTTACTAACGATAGGGATATATAGAAGGCTGGAAATACCAATCCCGAGCCTCTAGATTTCAAAATGCTCGGGGGGTTGCCCCCAAATCCCCTACAAACTGGCGCCCCCCGGCGCTCATTTTCAAAGTCCCCTGTTGAACTGAAATACGCTCCACCGTCCCTGATCCTTTACCAGTCCATGTAGAAGGACTTTTTTTTTCTGCTAAATTTCAGATGGAATCGGCGTTCGCCTTCAAATATGGGACACAGCGGGTCAAGAACGTTTTCGCTGCCTTATTCCTTCGTACCTCCGTGACTGTCACGTAATCTTGGTCTGTTTCGACGTGACCAATTGTTCGAGTCTGGACAATGTACCAGACTGGATTGAATTAGCTCAAAGAGAAAGGTATTGGCGAATGAAAAAACCTTTGATTGTTCTTGTGGGGAACAAAGTGGATGAAACCAGTAGAAGACAGGTAAGCGACCCGGCTAGGAGAGGCCGGGGAGTACTCCCATAGTCTTGATCCTTTAGCCTATTTTATAACATAACATAACAAAACAAAACAAAACAAAACATAACATAACATGGCATAACAAAACATAACATAACATGACATGACATGACATCACATAACATAACATATCATAACATAACATAACATAACATAACATAACATAACATAACATAACATAACATAACATAACACAACAACTTTATTTATTTGAAGACCTTTGAAGTGTCGATGTCTTTAGCTTATAAAAGCTACTTGAGAACACTAACGAAAAACTGAGACAAACGAAAACTGATATCCTTTTTAAGGCCCAAAACTAGAAAATGAGACCCAAGATGCAAAAAAAAATTAAGAATTTGAGGGAAACACTTAAAATTTCCTTAAATCACTGTCCTAATACTCTAACGCAAAATGTTCACCAGTCTTAGCAGATGATTTGTTTCTTGTGTAGCGCAGAACTTAAATTTTAGCTGATAAAATCTAAGGATCACATATGGAGCACAGCGTCAAAAAAGGCAAAAATGATACCCTATTTAAGGATGGAGACCTCCCAAAACAGTACCCTATTTGGTGACAAATACCTATGTATCTAGCCCATATATGGAAGCCTTGAATAGTAAGTGAACAGTGGGGGTGTACACTCTACTTGTGTTGCGATGACATATTTTTTTAAATCCAGTTCAGGAGTCCAGTTCTATCATATCATAATTCAGTATGCAAAATCAAATTAATAAGGGTCATTAAAATGGTCTCTTGCTTTTCTTTGCTTTGCTTTTTGTTCTAAAGAGCGTACATGGTAAGGGTTTGAGGGTTTGAAGGCCTCAGCGCTAGGGTGCCCCTTCCCAGACTTCCAGACTTCCCAGACTTCCAGACTCTGAGAGACCGCCCCACTCAAACTGCTCTGTACAGACTGCTGCAATCCCAATACATCGATCAGGTTTCCTTGACTCCTTTTCCAGTTCGATCTCCTTTTTTAAATCCTTAACTAAATCTGATTCTTAGCACCCCCAAAGGCCTAAAGAAGGAAGAAATTTTTCAAACCCTACTGCCTGCTTGTTTGTTTATATTTATACTCCATCTCAGGGGCGTAGCTAGGGGGGAGGGTCCTGGGGTGCCCGTGACCCCCCCTTGGTAGGCCTTCTTTTGAGCAAACAACCTACAATATTCAGGTGGCGAAAACGCCATGATAATATCTTGGCCGTAAAGCCATTGTTGAAAAGCCCACTTTTTTAAAATTTGTTTTTTTGTAAGGTATTTTCGTCAACGGCTCTTGTCTTTAGCGTGGAGGTCGACATGACAATCTGGTGAGTAACCTCTGAGACCCCCCCTTTAAAAAATCCTGGCTACGCCCGTACTCCAATTCAAATATCAAACTAATTCTCTTTTGCACTGGTTTTTGTTTTAGATATCCTATGAATGCGCCCACACAGTGGCTGATCTCTTTCAAATTCCGTACGTTGAGACTAGCGCTTTATCAGGATTTAACGTGGACTTATTGTTTAGGAAAGTAGCAAAAGACGTATTTGTAGAATACCTGGATGGACTTAGAAGTAACGGCGATTCCGGGGTTACCAAAGAAGACAAAATAAATAACGGAATTTTGACACTCAAAAAGGAGCAAAGACGGACACCTAACAAGCGATACATTTGCAAATGCGGATGAAGGTGTATAATTTTGAATATAAAAAAAGAAAAATTACAATGGTGACCAGTTTGCATAATTAAAAATTTACTATCATTATTTTTTCTCGTACACACGGATTTTTTAAGAGTAATAAAAATGTCATTTTTTTGGATGTGTGAAGTTTTTCAGCAGTAGTGGATGTTTAAATTTTTTCAGATAGTCAAACAATTAGTGAAAAATATCTAACTGTAGTAAAGTCTACCCTGCGAGCAGAGGCTACATTTTCACGGTGTGAGCTGGCGTGCGAAAAGTAGCTCCTTTTCGCACGCCAATTCACAATTCTGCTCTCACCGCCAAATATAATTGGACCCTAAATTGTGGCCTTTGCTCGCTGCTGGGACGGACATCGGAGGTGGCCTCGTTTTGAGAATTGGGCCCGCTCTCCTTTCAACCTTGATCTCGTGACGCCTGATACAAAACAAACATTTGGAATCACCGGCTCATACAGCTGGGTGTTTAATAGTTGTTCATACGACATTTTTACACAAATTGGTCATGGACAAATCCGTGTGTGATGATCAGACAACTCCTGAATCTAAAAATGAAGAGACTAAGAAAGAATCAGGCTTAAAAAAGCGATTACGTGACGCCGGAATTGTTCCTCCAAGTGGATTTTTCGGTCAGGTTGCGACACGCGGACTTGTTGTTATCTTGATCTGGGCTGTTCTCTGGTCTATTATTGGCCAAGATGCTTTACCAGGAGGAAACATATTCGGTATATTCATTGTAATCGTTTCTGCAAGTCTTTTGGGTTTTCTAGTGGGTAGAATTCCGTATCTGCACCTACCCCCTCTGTTGGGCATGCTTGTGGCTGGATTCGTACTACGAAATGTTCGTGGAATCGACTTAGCCCGTCACATTGACAAACGCTGGTCTTCAACCTTGCGAAGCATGGCCTTGGTTGTCATTCTTATTCGCTCGGGACTTGGATTAAATACATCAGCATTGAGAAAACTGAAGTTTACTCTTGTTCGATTAGCATTCCTTCCTTGTGTGTTAGAAGCAGTTATTGCAGCAATTCTTGTTCACTTACTCTTAGAGATGAAGTGGCTTTGGGCATTTCAGCTTGGGTAAGTTGCCACTTAGTTACCATCAGTTAACCTTAGTAAAAACCGTAAATCACCACAATGTACTCAAAACTGTTTACCATACATTTGTTCAACAATGTAACCCTTATGTTTAATAAAGTGCTCACATGAAAAGAAAAATAGTAATAATTATACTGATCACTCCTAGGTATGGTGGCCCAGAAGGGTCACACATGCAAATTAAAAATGTTGCTGCAAACTAAAACTTTTACCTGCAAATTAAAAATGTTGCTGCAAATTAAAAATAGGACATGCAAACTAAAAATTGTACATGCAAACTAAAAATATTACAAACATGAAATATGAATGGGCCGACGGCTGTAAGGCCAGGTCGCACGGCTCTGACCAGGTCCTCGTCACTCATACTGCGCGCGCAGGACTTTTCATTTTTAATTTGCATCGATATGTTTTCTATTTTCAATTTGCAGCAAAATTTTTAGTTTGCATGTACTATATTTAATTTGCAGGTAATATTTTTAGTTTGCATGTACAATTTTTAATTTGCATACATGTACTATTTTTAGTTTGCAGCAACATTTTTAATTTGCATGTGTGACCCTTCTGGGCCACCATACCTAGGGGTTACTAGCCTGCCAATACAGCCATTTCTCCTTTCTCCTTGCCACTAAGGTCATTTTGCCAGGAGGAACATCTGCAACTCAGCGACAAAAATTCCATACTGATGACATAAAATCTGTCCGGAATCTGGTTAGGAGCTCTGATTGGTTGACGTAGTGGTTATATTGTTTTATGTATTGTTTACAAATGACAGAAAAAGACAAAAGGCGACAAAGGTCAAATGTAAATGTGGTGAACCTGCTACAAAACAGTCAATATTCTTAGAATATATTCTCCTTTAGAAAAAGCTTCTGAGTTTTGCTGTACGTGTAGCTCATTCACAGAAGAACACAGAATATTACCATAATCATCCATCCAGGAGAAACATAAAATCAAAGAAATTTACATTTGGAACCCCATGACTACCAGAATTATTATAGCAGCAAAGAACAAGGAGAAAAGGCTGTATTCGCAGGCTAAGGGATTACAGGATTAGGAAAATGTGTATAATAATTATACGACATGCATTACTCCCACCTCCTCCCTCCACGCTTTCTTTTTTACTACAATAATATTAAAGACATGTGTCTAACACCAAAGTTCGTATCTGCTAAACCTTACACAGTATGCTTATGAGTTACAGCAATAGATTTTTGCTTTGGCATTGGGTTTGGCACTTGTGAACTTCAATGCTGACAGAAGCCTTAAAAACCAAGTTCAATGATAGTCATACCCTCTACGGGGCTCACATATCACACCCGTTATAGGCCCTTAAATTTCAAAATAACAGATCATGCTTTAAAAGTCATTTAAAATTATATATCAATGAAGTTAGCACTGGAAACTTTAAATTCTCTTATTTATGTAATGATCATTCAATCCAGATTCTCAATTGCTTAATATGGGTATGAATAATGTTACCAGCAGAAAGGTTGACACACTACCTTGATGCCTTGATTTTATACAGAATGGATTCCTTGAAAAACAGGAATTGCATCCAATCTTTGAAAGTAAAAGTTATTCTGTTCATGGTCTTAAAAGGGGATGAACTCCTACTCAGTCAGTCTGGATTTTTTTTTCACCCCCAGAATGATGGTGGCCTCATTATTGTCATTTGAAATTTTTGTATATAACTAAATTTATTTAAGAGAGGATCATATTGTCCGCAGGGAACTGCTAGAAGTGAAAGATCAATATTTAGAGGAAAAGTTATTTATGTTAACTAAAATTATTATTAATTTTAAAAAATATTTGATTATGTATAATGGTTTAGATTTGTCCAAGCTGCTGTTTCCCTCGCTGTTGTAATACCTTGTTTGCTGGACCTTCAAGGGCAACATTATGGAGTCAAAAAGGGAATACCAACACTTGTTATGGCAGCTGCTTCATTTGATAATGTTCTTTGCATTAGTGCCTTTGGAGTGTGCCTGGGAATAGCATTTGATTCAGGTAAAATAAAGTTGGAGTACAGTAAAGAGTTCATACTTGCAATAAGCCTCCAGATTATGCAGTAGTCTCCCAGATATGGCACCAATCTTTGGTTGTCTCAAACGGGTCACCAGATCTCCCAGATTAGGTCGACTTTAAATTTGAACCTTTCTCTGGTTTAGTTTGGAAATCAGACCATTTTGTCCAAAATTCGTTTTTTTTTTATTTAGTTTTTTTTTAAAATTAATTATTTTAGTGTTCGGTTTTAAGGCATGTATTTCATCACTGACAAAGATTTAAAGCACACCAATGTTTGGGACCAGGTCTATATATTGAGGGAAAGGGGGAGTGGCAGTTTTGTCATTGATATTAATTTTGTGAGGGGTCATGCAAAAGAGAGTCAGAGTTTCAAGATTTTTGATCTCCAGAAGTTAGCATCTCTGCATATTGAATGTTTTTTAGTTGAGTCTAGGCCATGTGCTAAACATTCATTTGATATAATAAAAAAAATTAACCGAACAGACACTTAACAAAATAGAATCTATTTCTTGAACAGATTATGCAGCTCTGAGGTTTTTAAAGTTGTGTCTCATTTTAGGTAACTTGATATTCAGCATATTTCGAGGACCAATTGAGCTGGCACTTGGTATCACTGTTGGGTCTATTGCCGGTGTGATGTGTTGGTTTTTCCCCAATAAAAACCAGGTAATTAATTTTAGTCTCTATACCCATTCAAGAGGAGAATAAAATGACAGGAGGGAATCTTAGGGTGTTGGATGGGATATACGAATTTTATAAAAGTTATTTTTAGCTGAGAAACATGGGTAAGAAAACTTTGTTATCTATGCACCCAAGAAATTTTGTTTCTGATAAAATCATCCTTACGTGCATTCACTCCTTCATGTAAGCCAGGGTGAAATTTCACATTTCAAGCACCCGCACGTTTGGCTATTTTGCAATTCTTCTCATTTCGGATGTAAAACAGCCATAGCCGATGTCAAGAAAAGAAATTGCTGGGGACTTTCTTTATAACATAGCGAGAATAGTTGGCTCATTAAATTCAATGGCGCAAGTGTTCACATGTTCCATTGTGCACGCTGCCCCACAAGAGCCACAAAAAACAAGATGAACTACGGAAACCAGAAGAGACATAGGAAACGTGAAAACCAACCACGGGAAGCACAAGAACAAGAAGAACCATGCAAACCACGAGAACTTAACAAAGGGAGTAAAGAGAACTACAAAAACCACATGAACCAAAAGAACAGTGAGAATCAGTAAATCAGTATACTCGACTAGTCATCATCAAAAATCCTGCCTTTTTGATCACCAAAAGTTCACTGGTGTTGAAGACTGAAAGCCCTCTTCATCAGCCAATTATTATTAAGCACTTTTGTCTTCTGCATTATTCTAATGATTGTATTATCTGATTTTTACGCCTGTATGTTTATTTTTCCACTTTATCCTTAGGCTAATGTATCACACAATAGATTTGTGATTCTACTGTCGCTTTCATTACTCTCAGTATTTGGCAGTAATGTGGCCAAGTTTTCTGGCGCTGGGGCTTTAGGAGTGCTTACCATGTCAACTATAGCAGCATATGGCTGGTCACCTAGTGGGAAGGTAAGTGTCTTGTTTTTCTCATTGATGTCTTTCAATCTCATAATCAAGGTGGGTTTCAGTGTCTGTCAAAGTATAAATATAATTGTTTTATTAAGTTTTACATTTTTGTGCTTGGCTTAGAGGTCTCGCCTAACATGGTCAACAACATGCTTAGCCTAACCTACTGGTGACCCTCCTGGTCTGGTTTACCTTGAAGCCCTCCAGGTTAAGTTGTTTCCTAAGCTTTTAACCTGACCATAGGCTTTTAACTTTTTTAACACTCAAAATAACATTTAAAAAAGTTAATGGGTCGTAAACACTGAGACGCTTTTTCCTTCCTGAAAACCCTGTCATTAGAACTGTATTTTCATGGCCCCACACTGGCGGTCACAGTTGGGTTCTACTATCGCTATGCTGACTCGGTGCATAAAATTGAAAAAATATATGAAAAATATTAGGATTTTCTCTGCCGCATTACTTTTATTACAGTTGAATCGATATAACAGTTTGTAGCTTTCTTTTAAAAGAGGACAAAGTTTGCCCCCTTTTTAAAATTTCTTAACTCAAGAAATTCCAGAGAATACAGCTACAGTTACAGCTAATTTTGGTGGAGAACAAAATCGTGAGGCATTCTGGTAGTTTTACTGAAATCGCGTAAATAACAACGAATTTTTATTTGTTTTCTGTATTAGGCTCCTGTTGCCATGGTGATGTCCCTTGTGTGGCAGGTATTTGAGCCGCTCTTGTTCGGTCTTGTTGGTGCTGAAGTCAGTGTTGAGTACATGAACTCAAAAGTTGTGGGTGTGTTGCGTTTTCCTCTATTTTTGTTTTTTCTTTTCTCTTTTTGTTGTAGTTATTGCTCTTTTTTGGGGGGAGGGGGTGGGGGACTAAAGTGGCAGGCCTTCAATTTAGAGATAAAACATGAACAATGTTATTGTTACAAAAACAACTGTATCACTACATGTACAGTATCTTTGAACTATCTGTTCGCTGGGTCGCACGATTGCTACGCAACGCTTTATTACCGGGAATCAGCTGACAGGCTAATAATTGGAGAATTCATGTGTAAGAGCACAACAAGTTAGTTGATAAAATAATCATACTTGGCAATTTTCACTGCTTCAGTTCGTATCGAAACGACCGGTCACCTATTCAAGTAAAGCTTATTGAATTGACGGGAGTCGATTGCGGCTTAAGGTGTGCCTCATCATCCAACTTTTTAAAGTCAAGTTTGTATAGGAAGAGATTGTACAATTATATGTGAACAGTCGAGTCGGAGCAATCAGCGCCACGAAAGGTTTCAAGCTCGTGCTTAAAGATTTTCGTGACTCCGTTGCCTCCGAGCCGGCTTCAATTCCACGGAGTCTCCAAGGATGACAGGCGCTCGAAAATCAGCTTCTGTTGTCTACTCAGTCTTGATGATTGATTTTGTTTTCTTTTTCCGTAAGGTATGGGCATTGCAAGTTTAGTCATTAGTCTGATCATTCGACTTATCACTACGTATCTTGGTTTACTCGGAAATGACCTCAACTTGAAAGAGAGACTGTTTATTGCCATAGCGTGGCTACCAAAAGCTACTGTGCAGGTATTATATTACGAATAATAAAGTTAGTAACGTGTACGGAAATGCGCCATATTCCAACTTAATTCTTCGACAACCACAATTTATCAAATAAAGTTTAGTAGCAAAATGGTTTTGTTTTTTTGCTATGCTTTTTGTTGTTGTTGTTTTTCTTTGCTTGTTTGTGGGATTATTGAGCAACCTCGTTTTCATAACGAGGCTGCATGTAAATCTTGTAATTCTACACACAAAGAGAGGATGAAACGTAAGAGAGTGAATCCCCTTAAGTTGTTTATAGTAACAACATGACGGGAATGCACAACGGTTTTTTTTGCAATCAAATTGAAATTTGGTGTAAAATTTGCATGCCATTTTTTCCAGCAATGCAAAAATTTCAAGATCTGGAAAATGATGATGATTATTACACTGGAAAATAATTTCAAGGCAATTGTATTAACAACATATTTAAATTTTAGTTTCCCACAATTTTATCGCTTAAAATGTCTTTAGAGGTTGTTATCTCTTGGAAGTCAACGATCCCATGAGCAGTAGGCTGCTGCGAAAGATAAGGAAGGCGATTTTTGTCCGCCGTTGATATATCCCTACACCAAGGTTCCATGGTCTGAGTAACCAGGCTGGCACCCTATGGTTTTCTCGGCGATCCTCAAGACTCGCTATCAAAACAAGGTTCTTCAATAATCTCTCATTTGAGAAGAAAAACGCTAACTACTTGTGGTTGCAATTTCTGGTAAAAAGCAGCCTTTTAAGCAGGAATGTGTAGGTCGCTAATTACTTTTACGCGATCTTCCTCTTTATTGTTCATTTTGCCGCGAGATTTTAAGCCGTTGTAAGCGATTTATTTCACGTTGGTTGAAAAAACCCATGCGTAAGCTGGCAGCATTAATTCAGTTTTTGCCCAACACTTTTCAACATTTGCCCAATGTTCCCTTGATCATGTGCGATCATTCATACAACCAAATTCCCCCAACTTTTGTTGAACTTTTGATAGAAATTAGAGATCTTGAGGTAGGAGGACAACGGCTACTACGAGGACGAGAATCCTCACTCTTAGTGACCAATTTTTGCTTTGTTTTGTTACATTGCAGGCCGCCATTGGCTCTGTATCACTGGACCTTGCACGTCAAAAGGGTTTTACAGGGCAAATAGAAGAAGACTTTGGAATACAGGTGCAGCACTATTTAGTAACTAAGTTTGCAGTTTAACAAACCTCAGGATACACGCAATTTTCAGTTGAAATCTATTCCTTTGGTATTAAATTGTTACGTTCTTTGCTGGAATTTTATCAGACCAAATAATCCTCTAGCCTTTGTGCATCCTCGGAGACCCAGGGGCAGTAATTCGGGTCGGGAGAAAAGGCGGGACGAAAGTTTTAAAGTAAGGGCGAAAGAGCCCCTGGGTACCGACTCTTATCGAACTATTTCCAAAACTTTAAGCGGATGCCTGCTCCTGATTGGACACAAAAAATGCTTTGTATTATTGTACCCAATCGGCGAACAGTTTCTTCTGAGTTCTTTTCGTGAGTTCGTACACGACCGCTATTGTCTCCCCACACTTGCCCGGTTCGTTCACCAAGCTTGTGTGTGCAAGGGAAACTTTTATTTTCTACTTTCCTAACCAGAAACAAAGGAACTACCGATGAGTCGAAAAACTTTTGGGATGCTATCCACAGGAGCAATTGAATTTGCCCCGAGAATATTCTTTTGCTGACGGACCACAATGTATCCTAAATAATAGGGAGCTTAAGCAACAACGACGGCAACGGCTACAAAATCGTCACTTAAAAAGTGAATTTGCACCGCTTCAAACTTTATCGCGCTTATTCCATCTCGTTTACTTCGTCAAATGTTGGCAACTGTTTTTGGAGTTGAATTCTGAAGGGCTGTATCAAAGTTCAGGAAAAGAAAAGAAAGTTGTTGTCTTGTGTTCCCGTCCTCGACAAAACGTGAATTCAGGCACTTTCACGTTGTAGTCGGGCAACGACGGCAAAGAAATGTACAAAAAAAGCGTGATGCACGTGCAAACTATGAAGCTGTTGTTTTGCTAATCAAACCTATTGATTTTTTGTCGTTCTCGTTGCCGTCCGCGTCGTCTTTGCTTAAGCTCCCTAATAGGAAGTTGAAGTTGGGGCGCCGATGATAAAGTCAAATAAGCAATTAAGCTTGACAAGGCAAAACAACAACTTTGCACGTGCATCACGCGTTTTTGTACATTTCTTTGCCGTCAACTCCACGACTACCCGTGAAAATGCCTAATTTCACGTTTTGCGGAGGATGTAAACAAGCAATGACAAAATTTATTCTCCTCATGAACTTGGATATGGTTGATAGAAATTCAGCTCCAGAAGAGTTCGTTTGTATTTGACAAAGTAAGCTAGTTGGAATAATCACGATAGATTTTCGGGCACATCGTCTTTATAAGAGTAAAGACACTTAGCAATACAAATCGGAAGAATAAGGGCTTATAGAGTGTTTTCACTCACGTGGCTAGCATCTATGCAAATTTACTGAAACAAAAGAAAGCGTTTGCATAAGAAAAGAGTTCAATTCCCAGAGGATTGGTTTAGGACATCAACATGGCCGCCGTTTCATTGTTTTGGGACACCAATATGGCCGCCGAGACGTCATGTGAAAACACTCTATAGGGGCGGAAAAGGACTGACTTCCACCCCACCCCTGCCAAATTCATTGGTAGGACTTGGGTTTAATACTTACCGGTATTTGCAAAAGAGAGAGATGACAATTTTTTTTTTGTTTTTAATCAAACTCTACCCAGACGTGTTTTGTTCCGGTTGTCTATTATCGTGGTCAAGAAACCGATCCTTGTTTTGTGTCCTGTTGTTTTTCCCTGTGGACAAATTTGATTTTGGTTGATTTCTAGAAAGTTCTCGGGCATGAAGTATTTCACCCTATTTCCGTTCATTTGTTGTTTTTGTTTTGTTGGCGCTTTTTTTTTTAGAGGTCATACGAAAATCGCTCTATCACAGCCCTTCTCTGTTGCCTCATTACAACAAATCGGAATCTTAAACGCCCTTTATTTACCTGTGATTCTCACTAATTATTAATTAGTTCGACTCGGCTGTGGCCGACTTAGTAGTAGCAGTATTTGTAAATAGTTCCTTATTTTATGATAGATCTTGACTATCGCCGTCCTTTCGATACTCATCACTTCACCCATTGGAGCTATAGGAATCGTCGTAGCAGGTCCCAGAATGCTTCATCGCAGCCATCCTGAAGAAGTTGATATGAATCCGCTCACGGACGCTACAGAACCTGCCACGAACAGAAAAGATCAGAATAAAGTGATAGAAAGTAGTGTCTGATACTTAATACTATAACGGCATTAACATTCGGTCATCATTCAATGTCCGAACTTAAATTTGCCCTGTTTTCAACGAAATAACCTGTCTGCGGCAAGACATGATAACCAGAAAGATCAAATTCAAAATTTTATCATCTTCAAGCAGAAGTTGTACAAGTTAGTACTCAAGGAAATGAACTTCAATGTACTGTGTGACAGACAACATTTCTGGTCTGAATGACTGAAATAGTGTCCTGATCATACTGATTTCTTACCGTGAACGTGGCTGAGTGTTATGGACAAGTACCGTACTCAGGTGCCGCGCCTGAGCACCAAGAGTGAAGCCAGACAAAACCTGACTGTGTTCACATCTGGTGCCTGCGCACAGTACTCGAGTACAGTACTCGCTGGGCAGTAATGTGAACGCTCCCTTTTTATAGGAACCCACGCCAGTATTACCTTCTTTTTTATTCGAAAACTAAAGTGGACACCGGATGCTTTCGAGGCAATAGCTGTTTTGCTACCCAAAACTCTCAACTACGCTCACCGTTTTAAAATGGCGTCTGATAAGGAGAAATGGGTAAATATGTCCGTAGTTACGTGTAAGCTACCTCAAGTGTGAACATAAAACCATTCTGTGACAGTTTCTTGTCACGAGTGCTCGGGCACCGCGTGTGAACTTAGAGTTCATCCAAACGCCTCCCTAGGCGCACGTCCAATGAGGATCGGTTCATTCTCACAGCTGGTTTCAGACCCGCTCTCTTATTCAAATAAGTGTTTAGAAATAATCAATAAGGTAAGTCAGAGTTCAAGAGCTTTAACAACGGCGACGGGAACGAGAACGGCAAAAAAGCAATAGGTTTGATTAGCAAAACAACTACTTTGCACGTGCGTCACGCCTTTTTGTACATTTTGTTGTCGTCACCGCACGACTGCGACGTGAAAATGCAACACAGCGTTGCAATGTTGGAACAGTGTTGTAACTATCTGAAACAATGTCGCAACAATGTTGGAACGCTGTTTTACGCTAAAAATCGTCGTTGCGAATCGTCTCGTTATGGAGAATGTAAACAAGCGACGACGAATTTTTCGTTCTCTTTCTAAACTTGAGCCCAGTCCCCAAGAAATCAACTACAGGGAAATTCGCCTTTATTTCACATTTTCCGTGAATTGGAATAAACGCGACAAGGTTTGAATAAAGGCGAACTGACGTTTTCGCCGCCGTCGTCGATGCTAAAGCTCTCTAACACCTACCCCAAGAGAACGGTAAGTATCTAAAAAGCCAGGGTGAGTTGAGAAAGTTTTTAAATATCCAAGTTGCTTGGATTCTGTTGTAGTAAATCACCTAGGATCTATACTTCTGTACACTTTGAAATAACTAACATTTAGATTACAATACAATACATCAGTTTATTTACATCTCTAACGTACAAAGCCAGTATTACTTAATTAAAAATATATTTTTTATAAGATTGCTAAGTAAGTTAAGTACCTATGGAAACAAAAAAAAGTTACTAATAAGGAAATGCCCGGTGTCGAAATTAACAGTATTTATAGTCTTCGAGCTAGCTATTAGACAGCTAAAATTACCTGCTAAGTGTAAACAAAGGTATACAAACAAGGTTATGAAGAAAGCAAAATACATGTAAAAAAGAAGAAAATATAAGGCTGGTAAGGCGACCCTAATTTATGTGTAAAAAGTACAAGAAATTGTTGTAACTGAAGATATTGTTTTAGTTTCCGAGGAAAGAAAAACTTATTTAGTTCTTTAATGAAGCCGCTGGATGATTAAAGAAGGCAACTGGTGCCACTGCTCAGCTGCTATTAAAGATATAGTTTGTACCAAGATTAGTCCTGCATGCATGAGGCTTATACAACAACAACAACCTATAGAGAATTTTCCCGCCCCCCGCCCGCCCAGAATTTCACATGTTTTGGCTAGTGAAAACATAGTTATTAGAGGAGACTGATTATGAAAAGAGGCAAACATCAATGATAAAAACAACAGTGCTGCAGTTTATGTTCAAAGCACCGTGAAAGTGCACAATCCTTTGTTTTCTGTTGGCAAATTGTTACGGAATAAATTAATGCAACGTTTTTATTGGTCAATACAATCAAAATGATAGGAATTCTTTTGAACGTTGTGCACTTTCAGGTCCACAAAAACATATAACAAAGGAGTCTGACGGGTTTCATAACCATTCCACTCAATTAACTATGGTGAAAAGAAAAGAAGAAATTGTTATTTTAAATGATGCATTATGAGAACAAAGATGTCTAGGAGCCAAATGAACAAAGGTTTTTTTTTTTTCGCGCTAGCGCTATAAAATGATATTTTTTATACAGTGGGGACGGATAAAATAGTAACAAAAAACTTAATAAAACAAAATAAGCAACTAAAAAACACATATACATTATACACCTATTTCAATAAAGGTTGTTTTGGGAATTGTGCTTTGGTCTTTGAAAGCCATTGTTTGGTGGTCACTCAAGCAAAGCGTTGCATTGTATTCTGCGTTTCAATGACCAAATCCATAAGCAACCTTTATTGAAATAGGTGTACACTATGATGGAGATTGAAAAGAACGAATATGGTCAACTTTCAAATTGTCCAATCAGGAGATGTTGTTAGGTGTAGATGTTAAAGATGTGAGTTAAAAATTAAGAAAATTAAAATATTTCAGTCTGCATTTACGAAAACAACTAGTAAAGAAGCTATGGAAGAGACATGCTTTGTTATAATTAAGAAGGGTGGGCGAACATGTTTATGTAGAACTTTATATTAATGAGGACTTCTTAAATTTGGTAAGAACATCATCGTTCTGCCTGGTAGCCTAGCTCACGTTTCGCGGGGCTAAGAGGCGGTCTCCTCGATGATATACGGTACTGACAAGGAAGGAAAGTTTAGGGACCATACGATATACCGCTTTTTCCCTCGGGTATGGGTAAAAGGAACACGTTTTCCATGTGTTTTTCTTATAAGGGACTGTATTCACAAATGGGGAGGGGCGTTATCGCCCTTGCCTCTGATGTAACGTTTCTAAACGGTAAGAGTTCTATGCCCGTACCCATACACATGGTCTATAAAACACCAACTATTTTAGACGTTCCGATGATGAAAACCAAAGGAGCACATACTACACTGTAAATTAGAAAGATCTGTTTCAGCCCTTAAAATCGGGCCGTTTCGGTGAGTAAAATACAGTCCTGTTTTTGAGTCTCATTTGGTTCCCTCAATCAGGGTGGGCTGGAGTAAGGCCTTTTAATGGGGCTGTTAACTTTTGGCTTAAATCGTGCTCAAATAGCAGGAGGAGCTGAATCCCGACTTTGGCCTGAAAAGTAATGCGCTGACTAATTGGCTTTTTAGGGCTGAAACAGATCTTTTATCAGCGTTTTTTTTGTGTGTGTAGTCTCCACAGCTTCCTGTGTACTCTTAATCATGGCCAAGAGATTCGGGCATTTCGATCAACCAAAAATAGGATAATGATGTCTATTGTTCTGAGTCTTTCTCTTTCACTTTCGAGACAATAAGCTGAGCTTGCATTATTGTTCGGTGATCCGTTTACATATTTTGCAACTTCCTTAGATCCAAGTGCAGGCAAATGTACTCTTAAAGACAAACATGAAAACGCTTTTTCTTTTGTCGTCTTTGATTTTACTGGCTTACCCCCTTGTTCGCGTCAAAGCTTTTCGACCTCGAATAAACGTAGGAGGACGGGAATCGACATCATTTGCTCATGCATTGATAACGAAGCGCGGGTTTTTGAAGCCTCTCATTTACTTCTTTCGAGATAATCCGCAGTATTTGAAAGAACAGCATCTGACAAGCTTTCTGCTGGATATTCTATCGTCTGATTCACCAAATGCCTTGGAAGAAACGGTTGATAACATAACTCCACAGATCAAGTTCCTGAATGCTTTGAGCACCATTCTGAGCGCCAACGCTGAAGTTGATTCATTTCCTCTAAGCCGCTCGGCTTCTGCACATTTTGACGGTGAGCAGTTTAGGCAAGGAAATGCGCGGCTTATCCAGTTGCGTCAAGAACTTATAACATCGCTTCTACAAGGAGACAAACTACAACATGCAAGAAATCTGGCTGGCACTGCCTTGCACACTCTGCAAGATTTTTACAGTCATTCTAACTGGATAGAACTCGGCAACTCAGGACCGTACGGAGTATTAGGCAAACCCGGAAGTGAAATCCGACTAGAGTACATTGCAGGCCCGACAGAAGCAACATGCGAGAACTGCGAACCAGGAAATTGTGAATCGAATTTGATCACATTGAAGCTCACGAGCGGATATCGGTCAGGACAAGACGTCAAGAAGCCAGAGAATATGGGAAAATGTAGCCATGGTGGGACATTGGATGAGAGCCGTCTGAAGCCAGCAACAGGCGGAATAAACAAAAATACTGCTACTGCTGTGGAGTCACCCCACGCAAGGTAAGAGCTCTGAGAAGATTCTGACTGCGTTGGCTTATAAGCCTTCATTACAATTTGCCGTTTTACATAATTTGGGCTAATAACCAGATTCAGTGGTGGTTTCACAGTTTCGCTATTCAGAATTTCCTGAATTGGTGGAAGGCAAAGGAAAATAAATTATTATTATTTTTTCAGAGTCGTGAGCCATGGTACCCAATTTTGGAATAAATTTTCTCCCTCGTTCACTTTTGAAGTAATTATCTTGCGGGTGTCAGTTAAAAACGCTGATTCGAGGTTGTTGTTTGTTTGTGTGTTTGTTTAAAAAAAAGTGCCAGCGCTGTAACGATGACGCACAAGGAAATGACTTCATAATAGAGGTCATGCAATTATTTTAAGGCGATCGGGCAAGCGCTGAATCGGGGTCAAGGTCTTTTTATTCTATTGTTCAGTGTTTTGTAGTAAGAGACTTAAAGATGATGAGAAGCAGTGATTTAACAATAGAGGTCAATTATTTTAAGACTCAACTGTATATTGCTTCTAGTTTATTATCGCAATTTGAAGGTTTCTTTTCGGCGCCAATGGAGTAATTATACCCTTAACGAAAATTCTTGTAGAGTGTTGGAAGGAGGGTTGTAAAAAACGCATTCCACGGTCATGTGGTTTCACGCAAAGCATTATAAAGCTGCACATCTGGAGATGCAGAAAATTTAATTTGCATAAGCAGTCTCATTTTTCCACTTAGACACCGCAAAATTCAGAAAATAAGCCCCGGGGCTTATATTTTTCAAAAGCGATTTTTGAGGGGCAGAGTTTTGAAGGGGCTTATCTACGGAGGGAAATTTGCGTTTTAAAATCGATTGGGCTAGCCTTATAGTTGTAAGGAAATTTACCGTTTTTGCTTTGTTTTTCTTTGTGTTTGAGGGCAATTTCCAAGTACAAGCCCCCGGGAGGTGGGGGGGCTTATATTTGGAGGGGCGATTTAAGGGAGGTTTTTTGCGTTACGAGTTTGGGGTCCTTATATTCGAAGGGGCTTATACATAGAGGGGTTTATTTTCGGAATTTTACCTAGATAACAATCGCGCGAAAGTCTGCTTCATGTCCATATTATGTATTTTAGTGGACTGTCTTTTCTAATGTTTATCAGTGTGGCGCTTCATGGGAAAGTAATTGTACTTTAGTATGAACATCTTTGCTTGCCGCTCTCGTCTAGAAAACCGGTCAGTTTTCAGGGGCGGAACCCCCCCCCCCCCCCGCTGAGATTACCTGCGGCTTTCAAATACAACTGGTATTCTGCAAAAAGTAGTAAAACGTTTGTCGTTTATTGGTATTGAAGTAAAACTTGAGACGAGGTTGATATGTTGCATTGGTGCTATGTATTCTCAGAGGTTCACATTATGTGATTGCCTCGTCAAAAGCCTTCCTCGTACTCGCTTTTAAAATTTGTTTACGCCACAAATCGGTTACGTCGTTCGTTAGGTAGTGCAACACCCCCTAAGAAAAATCCTGGATCCGCCCCTGGTATTCATCGATCCTAGATCCACACCTTGGTAATGATGATACAATTGCCTTAAAAGCAATAGCTTTCGAATACAACCGCAGGGACGGATATAGGGGGAGAGTGCAGGGGGTGCGCACCCCCCCCTGAGAGGACCTACGGTTTTCTAATACAACTGGTATTCTGCAAAAAAAAAAACTATGTGGTTTATTGGTGTTGAAATAGAGCAAGAGACGAGTGCACCCTCTCCTAAAAATCCTGGATCCGCCCCTGAACCGTCTCTCCTTGCTCGAGTTATACTCGATTTAGGTTGGCTGCATGGGGAGCCACTCACGGCGAACCTAACATCGGGAAAGTTTCCCGCAACTCGTTCATCGCGCGACACTCTTTTAACATATTGTTATCTGGGTCATTATCCCTGGAATGCTATATATATTATATGACACTTTGTGCTAAAGACCTTTTTTTCTTGGGCCATCGTTGTTTGATCATTAAAAATATAACAGAGACAGCGGTTATAAACATTGTTAGCTTTCTCATTTTTATAGCCTTGACGCAAGTTCGTGTGCTGTTCGATACATTTTTAAAAGTCAGTGATCTAAGCAACGGCCACTTTAGATCACCATGTTTTCAAAATGTATGTTGAATAGCATAGGAAACGTCAAGTGTATAAGAATGCGAAAATTCACAATGTTTATTACCGCTGTTTGTGTTTTATTTTTGATCAAACTTTGAGCGCAGGCGGTTTCAATTTCCTTTTTCTCTCATGCATTCTTTTTATCGTGAAAATGAACTGTTAATGGGCCATTTGCACGATGATGTCATTTTACCACTACGACCAGAATCCTCCAGGGTTTTCTTTTTTTGTGCAAATGAGAACTTTTGCCATCCAAACTTCGCTGGGATTTCCAAATTAAGATATGAAAGGAAAAACGAAAAGCGTTGTGGTCGTAGTAGTAGAATGACGCCATCGTGCAAATGGCCTATTGAAAAATCATCATCTTGTAGCCTTCATAATATTGCCGCTGACCTTGCTGCTGAAGCCACCAGCATATTCCTTAGTGACATACGCTCGACTGTTGGCGATGACATCTTCGCTAAATTTCTGAATCTGAAGTCGGAGAATTCCATGGCGTTAGTGATAGATGTATCAGGAAGCATGAGTGGTAAGACTAGCATTTTTTTCTAAGTATGCAGGAACGGGTCACTTAAATTAATTTACCGACAATTGGTAGTGCGAATCGCTTTTGTTTACTAAAGAATCCAATTTGGATTATTTTCATTACTACGATTACTTTGATTTTGTTATTATTATGGCAGTACAAACGTCTAAATGCCCAGAGTAAAAAATAAAAGCTTTGGCTGGGAGGCAAACCGTAACCAGCCGCAGTATCTACTAAAATTTGTAGTAACAATTACACAATAATTTGCACAAAAAAAAGGGTAAAAATGATTTGATAAAAGTGTCATAAAGAAATAACAATAAAAAAATCCTACAAGCTTTATGCACGTCTTAATTATAAAATAAAAATGTTCATAAGTTAAAAATCATCGTTCATGTAGCTGTCCATTAAATAACATAACATAACATAACATAACTTCCTCACGGGAGATATGAACTCAATAAATTGACCTCGCTCCCAATGTGTGGTTTCATAGCTCAGTTGGTAGAGCAACGCACCGGCAACGCGGAGGTCACGGGTTCGAATCCCGTTGAAGCCCTGATTTTTTTCAGGCTTCTTTCCAATTGCTTAAATTGGAA